ATCCTCCCGCTTTTAAAGGTGGTGTAAAGAAGCGACGACCCAGTCCCCTAATTTTTCCATTTAAAAAAAACAATAAAAATGTATTTTATTTTATTAAAGTTAATTCTTTGATTATTTAGAGTCTTGATATTTATCATATTTAATAAAGATTCTGTGAAAGTTTCATCAAATTTCATTCAGTGGTATAGGAGGAGCTGCGGATAAGAGATGGGCACCCTAAGCCGTAACAAACGGACGGACGGACGGACAGGTGTACGGACATCCCGATAACTATATACCCTCCCGCTTTTCAAGCGGGGGTATAATGTTGTAAAGTTTTGCAATAATATACAAATATAATATTTTCAATTAGTGTAAGAAAATTTCTTATTGGGTTTAAATGTGCTTAGACACAGATTTGATGTTCATATTTTCTCAAATTTTCTGTATAATATCATGAAATCTATTCTGCTGTAGCATTTCATAGGAAAATATTATACAAAATAACTTATATTTTGTGGAAGTTAGAATTTAACTTTGAATTTCTCAGAGAAGGATAACCCCTTTTCTATCAATGATTAAACCACATCGACAATACGTCGGTCATAATGCAACTACTTTTGAATAGGTACTCTCTGAAAGCTTCATTTTAAGAAATTATGCCATGGCAAAATACCAGAGACCTTGAGACACTCAACAATATTATGCACATATAGTACAGTATTTTGAAGAAAAAAATATCCATTTAAAACATATCCTCTTTTGCTTCCATGCAAGGATACATTTAAAAATCTGTCCCATTTTTATCCCACCCAACCCCCAATTGAAAAGTGAAAGGGTAAATACAGTAGTAATCGGGATGTCCGTCCGTTTGTTTGTCTGTTGGAGTACCCTCTATTATCCGCAACTCGTCTATACCTCTGAATGAAATTTAATGAGACTTTCACAGAATCTTTTTGTTACATAATGCTATTGTGCACCTTCTATTTTACTAATTCTGGATCTGACACATATTTTGGGTTTCACCAAGCAAAACGTGGACACTGCCATTCTTTCTATAATATTCAAGGTACCCATCATTTATCCGCAGATCCTCCTATACCACTAAATAAAATTTTAATTTTTAATTAATGGTCTCGCAGTGTAAATACAGTACCTCTAGATTCTATAATATTGAAGGGTATCTATCTCTTATCCGCAACTACTCCTATTTCACTGAATAAAATGTAATTATACTTTCACAGATTTTATTTTACATTTTACATAATACCATATTATACTCTTATTTCGGGTCTATCATGTTGTAAATTTTGAATTTACTGGGGGGAAAGGGGGGGGACTGCAAAATTTTGCATTTAATTCCCCCTAGTAAATTCAAACTTTACAACATAAAAGGTCTCCCAGAGAAAATAAATAGTAGACCATTTTTATCATATGAGTGGCGTGGTATCATTTAGTAATCTCAGTGCTCAAAGTACCTCTAGCTTTTTTTTAAATACATGTAACCAGTTTTACCAAATATTAATGCTTGAGTATTATTCAGATGAATTGGTTGGATATTCTGAGGGGAAAAAAATTAAAAATTCGAAACTGGACACTAATTTGAAGAAAAGACCAGTAAATCGCGTCGCAAGCCCTTTTCCTCCTCATACGTAAGTATTTTATTTGGGGAAATCAAACTCTCTTTATATTTTTACTATTACACAGAGAAGGATCCCTCCCGGAAAATTGAACCTGATGTGGGATTTCCAAAGAGAAAATCCTAATTAATCTAGAGAATATTTTCCAGGGAGGGGGGCTTACTCTAAAGCCAGTTGTGGGGAAAACATACTAGTAACTCTACAAGATCAATTTGATTTTATCCTTAAAAATCTTTCGCAACGGAAAACTGGAGTATTTATACCCTCGTCATTTTTTGAGTTCTCCATAGCAAAACATGGACACTGTCACTCTTTATAACATTAAAAGATACCCATCACTTTTCCGAAACATTGACTTGGTCGGTATAATTATATATGGGCGGTAGAAATATCATTTCGTGAATTCAGTACTCACATGTACAGTACCGCTAGTCTTAGTTTGACTATTGTTGTTTAAATCGAATCTGTATTGACATAAATCTTATTTGTGTGCTAGGTAATCATGGCGATATATTTTTCTAATTTTAAAATACAAAAAAATTCCTCATTATATGAAATCTTTTCTTTTTCTTTTTATACAGTAATTAAATGGGTGTTTTTATCATAAGGAAACCTTTCCTGCTTTCGAGATAAAGGATTACTGCACTTAAGGACATGTCATATATGCGTCAAAATAAACTTTCAAAATGTTTTTTTTTCTTTTAATAGCAATAATCATGATAATCATTAACATCATTCTAATCTACAACTTTACATAATTACACTGTACAACTAGAGCAGTAGAGGTATACACAAATGATACCACGCCTCCCATATGATTATAATGACAAAGTCAATGTTCTGCTCTGGGAGACCCGAAATTCTAGTAAGTGTCCGATCAAGAAGTAAAATAGGAGGTGCACAATGGCATTATGCAAGAAAGAATCTGTGAAAGTATGCGGATAAGAGATGGGTATCCCTCAATAATGGCAGTGAGTATGCATGTTTTGCATCATTAAATTACATTCAGTGGTATGATACTAATAGTTGATAGGCCTATACTGCATTAGTTTTAACCCGGTGTGGCAACGCACTTGGAAAAAATTATGCACTTTGAAATTTTTTTTCAAAGTGCGTTAAAATTGGGACAAAATCAACGCACTTTGGAAAAAAAATTTCAATGTGCGTTAAACTTGGGACACACTCAACGCACTTTGAAAAATTTTTTCAAAGTGCGTTAACGTTTTTGTCTTCATATTGTTAAAATAAGATTTTTTTAATGCCACGAAGAACACTGATAAAAGGCTCAAAAGGAGAAAATATGATAATTAAAGGTTGAGTGTTCATCATTTATTAACTTTTTTTGCAGTGGAAAAAAGGCACAAAAATAAAATCCAACAACATAAAAAACATAATTTTCTAATTTGATGAAATAAAAATACCTAAAAGTAAATTGTAATCATGTTAATCATCAAGAAAAACAAAGACATGTTTCATGCTTTATAATTATGTAAAATTAATAAAAACTGTCTGCCCAAAATGGGGCAATTTCATTAAAGCATTGAGTATGCTAGCAGCTACATGATAATTATTATCTCCTATAAATAGATTCAGTACAACTTTACCATTATGAGGAAGCAGTCAACAAACTGTCAATAAGACTGTACTTAAAAATCACTGTACAATGTATTACTCTTAAAAAGTAAATTAAAGATCTTCACTAAGCTTCATCTCTTCCCTATGAATTTATAAGTCCTATCGAGACTTATGGTACAAGCTACCATTTGGAATAGACTAGCTCATCATAATAACAGAAAGAAAGAGGACGCTTTTGATTGGCATTCAGCAAGAATCTGGGCGTAATTGAAAAATGAAAATTTTATCGACATGTCACATAAAATTTTAACATTTTTTTTAAATTATTGGGTTCCTGTAAAATGGAAAAGGAAAACATTTTCCTGAAAAAGAGGTTTTTTTGCTAAAAATAACTTGAAAATAGGCTAGATCAGACATTTGGTACAAAATGGTACATGTTTAAACATGTTTTTCTAAAAATTTTCTATCTCTGGGTTTCCTTCCCTGATTTTGAAACGTTATTTGTGTGCATTTTAATTCAAAGAAACGAACATACATTTGCAGAAAATGGAGAGAAGACCAAGAGACCATAAAAAATGAACTTTTTCAAAAAAACTCCGTGTAAATGTGTTGCTTCTCTGCTCTTTTAAAATCCATGATAAATGTAGACGTGATAGCTCAGTAAGATGGGCTACCTGTTCAGTGCACTAGAAGTGAATAATTTCTGGTTCGAGCCTCCCATAGGGCGTAAATTATTTTTTTCAATTCTTTTGTAGGTTTCATTTCATGAACTGATTTATTAAAATTTTGAAATAGATAATTTTGGTTAGTTGCACCTAGAGCAAAATCAATTTCAATCTTCTATTCTACTTAAACTTTGATGTACGCGTACACTTATCTTCCATGCCCTTTGTGTTATAGGTGTTTATTTTATTGTAAAGCATAACAATGTTATTGTACCTCCTAAGAAAAACGGTCATAAATATAACAATCTGACAAGGTATTTCAAAGCTAGATGAAAAAAAATCATATGGTTCTTTGTTTAATCTGACCAGCTATGGTCAGCCACCCAAATCATGGACATTTAATCCATAAATGTTTCATACAAATGATTCCTGCAGATCAAATGTGAAATATGCCCATCTTCTTTGTAGAAAAGGTGGGTAAAAGTAGTTATCAGTTACCATCAGATTTAAGAAGAATTAGCCATAGAAGTAAAATTATCTTTGCTCATAAATAATATTAAATTAAAGTCAAAATATAAAAGAAGTACTCTGAGTATGATAAGTCAATTCATTCAACCACATTAAAATGGCACAAAAATAAACAAGAGGGCCATGGGTCACATCGCTCGCCTGAGGACTGTCCACTGTGGCTATGAAAAAAAGAAAAAATCAGTTTATTATTGAAAAGTTTTAACCCAAAAGTGGTCCAAACCATTCCTTACAGGGGAGAGGGTGTGATTTGGACAAACTTGAATTTACACTAATATTTTGGCATCTGATGAAAGGTCTTGTCAGAAGGAATACATCTGTGAATTATGAAAGCCCTGGCCCCAACCAGTCAGAAGTTATGGACAATGTTAAAGTTTTTTGCAGACAAACAGACATAGAGAATTATGAAAGCCCTGGCCCCAACCAGTCAGAAGTTATGGACAATGTTAAAGTTTTTTGCAGACAAACAGACATAGAGACAGAGTATAAAAATATATGCCCCTGAATCTTCTATCACATGCATAATAAATTATTAATACATTGTATTTGTGTGGAGGAATTTAAAAAATAATCTTCTATCACATGCATAATAAATTATTAATACCTTGTATTTGTGTGGAGGAATTTAAAAATAACATACTTTTGTTCAATATGAATGAGATTCAAATTCGCAACTTTATAAAAGAAAAAACCCATACAAAATATAATTTGATATAGTTTTAACAAGCCTGAGATTAGCCCCATTATACATTCAACAACAATCTATCAACCAAAGCACCCAAAGCTCACTAACAAAAACAACATAATAAAAATAGACAACACATATATCACTGAGTTAACACAAAAGGGAATAGAATATTATATACCCTCTGTGTTAATCCAAGATCAAAGAAAAAAAGAGCACCACTCTGGCTAGTTATGAAGTCCTAATAAATCACAATAACTGATAAATAAGCAAAAAATTGTTGGCAAGTTTTGAAACTAATTTCAATCTTAACAACTTTCCTCTTTGTTTCTCCTCTTTTTCTGTACTCTGGCAAAGACGGCCTCTGTTATCAGGAGGGTGACAGAAAACAACGCAAAAGAGGCGGAGACAAAGATGGACGTCGACCAGGTACCGGACACATCCTTCATACCACCTGGAAAAGAGAAATACTGTACATGCATAGCACAGTGTACTTCTGGTTGTGATAGAATGTTAAATGTGATCTTGAAGTTCACACTTTTGTCATGCATGATGGTTGTAAACTTTGAAACATTTATGAATTCAGAGATGAAGATTCTGTATCTATGGTAAATGTAAATGCTGACATTTAAATATTTTCAAATTCAACCAAAATTATAAATTTGAAGCCACCCACAGATAGATAATGACTCTATGTGAGTAAAAAAAAATTTGAATTTCACTTAAAACAGCATACATATAATCAATCAATTATTCACAATACAGTCCAAAATAAGAGTTGCAAAATATATAAATTTTCCACCTAATTAATTCATACCTGATAGCACTGGGTTGATAAGCATTGATATAGACACAATTAAACAGGCAAATCCCCAACCACTGGATAACAGGTCTATACCAACACAGTCCACTATCATAAGAACAAAAGTCCCATTGAATCCACCCGTAAAAATCCCAAAAGCTGTGCACCATATCATGATGTCCCAGAAACTGTGAAAAAGTGGTACAAGAATGTATCCTATTCCATGAAGTAATATGTAGAAAATAAAAATGTATTTTCTCCATAAGATGCACTTATCGTTGATGATACCAGCTATCAGGCGACCTATGACATCTACAATGCCGAAGGCGGGAATAAAGGACATACTTTGGTGCTGAGTCAGGCCTTGCTCAATTCCATAGGATGGAAGTATGAGAAAAATAGAGTGATAGCTATAGGCTGTAAAGAAAAACGAAATCATAAGTAGGGTGAATGAAAAGTTTTTGAAGAGGCTGAAGTTTAAGTTTCTGAAAAATTCACAGCACTTTTTATCTGTGTCTTCTGCTATAGATATTTCCCGAGGAATATTTTGATGTGATAGTGATATAGTAGACAATGCCGTTAAGCTGGCAGATATGGAATTGCTCTCTGATGTCTTGTGTTGTCGTCTGTTCACATATGGAGACTGTGTTTTGCTCTCAGATTTGTCTATCAGGCATGTTGTTGCATCGAGATCCATTTTTCCCATTCCATTTCCAATGTGGTCTTTCTGTTCATTGAATTTTTCATTACTCTCTGAAACTGTGATCTCTATAAAATTTTTCCTTGTAACCACATTCATCCAGTCTTCCTTTGCACCTCCATCTGGATCTACTTTCTCCATCTCTTCCTCTTTTTTCTATGTCAAAATACAATATATTATTTTAAATAATACAGTAAGGAGCAAAAAAAAACATTGTTCAGTGAATTTTTGTTCATGGTTTGGGGAAAAAATTGTTTCAAAGAGATTTGATTTCAAGGTTTAATATGAATTTTTCAAAATTAAGACTTTACATTTTGTGATGGACTAAATTCAAAGGTCTCTTAAATTCATAAAAACAAAGACAATACCCCCCACCATCCCCATAAAGTTTTTTTGATATGACAGTAATACCAGTCTTGGATATTGATGTGTTGGCCTAAGAAGTAAGGCACAGGGACAGATATTTGCCATTGTTCCCCCTAAAATCAGCATGCAGCCCTTAAGACCAAAGTTGTCAATCAGCATCTGCATCAGGATAGGCATACATATGCCCCCCACTGCTGCTCCTGCCATGTTAATGCCATTGGCTACTCCTCTTCTTTTGTTGAAGTGACGAGTTGCAATTACGACACTTGGCGGAAATGAAAGACCAAACCCAAAACCTACAAGAAAAGGAAGCTTCACGATATTTTATAGAAAAATTTTATTTCAAATGTCTAATAATTTTTTTATTATAATTTGAATATATATTAGTGATAATTCTGATCTTTACCAGTAGTAATTAATGAGCATTTCATAAAATTATACATTTGTATAAATGACATTCATTATAACCTATTGAAAGCAATTTAATCATATATTTGATTAATCACCTGTAAGAACTCCATAAGTGAAGTACATGACTTCTATTGATGGAGCTAGGAAGCTAAGAATTAATCCAGAACTTGTCAGTAGGCCTCCAAAAAATATAACTTTCTGATGAGTAAAGCGCTCACACAGCCAGTTAGAGAAGGGACCTGAAATAATGTTAAGTATATTATTAACAAATTCTCTAGGACTCTTTGCTCGCCTTATGACCTATTCACTAAAAGAGGCATAACTCTAATGGTATGTTATATAATTTGAATGCAAAGGGGACATAACTCTAAACATAGTACATGTATTGACCATGGATAATACATATAATTTTTCAGTTTTTCAATAAATAGGCAGACATTACTTGAATGCTGTTATATACATGTACTAGTTATTATCAGATAGAGTACTTAATGCTTTAACATAAAGAAGCATGTATACCTTGAGCAAATGTAATGGTACATGTATATGATATATCAGATTAGGATGGTGAATAAGTTGTGCTATTACTTATTTCCCATTTGGATATATGTTTGGGTTTGATGTTAAGGTGTATTGCTGTGGAAAATATGATAAAGAAAGGGAAGGGAATAAGGTATGCAATGGATCCATCATTAATCTGACACTAGTCTACATATTGAATGATTGAATTGGACATATATTTTGAGAATTGTGAAGAAGCTGAGAGACCAAATAATCAGTGAGTTTAGAATTACCTAGTGCTCACTTTGGAGATCTGCACTCAGTCTCAATTCTCTTCACGGCCCGATTACTCTTAACTCTACTCAACCTTGATAAAAATATTCTTGTCATGCATAAAAAGGCATAAATTTTGTTCAATGTATGTCATAAATGATGTGTGAAGGTAGAAATTTCACTGTGACCCCTAACAAATGTTATTACCGTAATTTTCGGGTAATAGGTCGATGGGGTATATAGGTCGAAAGGCTCATTTTCAGCCTTAATTTTTGAAAAATTCTTAGATAGGACGAACTTACTATATAGGACGAGGCTTTGTTTCCCGTTTTCTAAAGATTCTTAAGCAGATACAACGTATCAGAACAGGTAAACCCCTTAAATTACCGGGGTTATTCCGTGACATGAACGTATCAAGAAAATAAACAAGTATTTTAATGAGTGCAGTATTTAAATAAAGTTTTTTTTAAGTAGTTAAAATTTCTTTGCATTGTGTTACTACTTATTTTTCTCCAATTTGCCTGTTCAATGCCTCCGTAGTTTCACACCATTGTTAAATAAGAGGCATAAATCATGTAGATACGGTATTATTTTACAGCTATAATTCGGGAAATACCTGAGACCAAAGAATAGTAATTCCGATTTCAGAACATCTTAGACACATTCCTATTCATTTTATTCAGACATTATTTACCGGTGGACGACAATTACTTCGATGTCCGCCATTTTTATTTTTCTTCTCCAGGGATTTGCTAAAACACGCAAATGACCATTGGATGTATATATCAAGCAACAGTAAAGAACTGAAATCAAATTAACACTCGATTAGTTTAATTTATAAATTTAATTGAGAGTACATTCACAATTTGACTGTCAACATGAATTTCACGGCTTTGTTTGTTCAATGATGTGTAACACTAATACCCTATAACGGCATGTGATAATCATGCCCCGCAGGCATTTAAACCAACACAGCTGTTCACGTTTGCGTACACAGTGTTAATCCCTTTATCTGTCAGACAATTAAAATTCTGTTAGAAGCCAAACTTTGAATACCGGTAATTCAATGTACTCTTGTGTATGAAGTTTTTAATAAACCTGATAATATTAGTTAAAATTAAATTACTGTCTTGAATTATATTTTTGTCACCCGTATTAATTACTAATTCTTTGCTTAAGACAATAAAAAATATTTAATATACTACATGTATTTCAATTCATCGCTACTAATAAATGGTAAAAACACTACAGTTACAATTTTCTGTATTTTAAATTTTGATACGGTTGCGGTTTTACTTTTAGTAAACGGTAGCCACTTCCTAACTTCACAAGATGGCTACCGCATGGCAATGGATAACATGTTGAGGAATTATTTACCAGATGAAGCACAGTTTTTTTCCTTTGTCATTAACGGATATTAAATTGAATTTATTTTGTAAGAAAGCTATGGAATAAATATTTTATTGTTTACCTGGGAATGAATTTTTCTGCGTAAAATAATGAAAAAAAGTTATGAAAGTGGCACAGATTTGCTTTGAAATTGACGTAAATTTTATAGATTTGGGGCCATTTTTCGTAAACTTGAGCCTTAGAAAGGTCGAATTCGTACATTGGGCGACCCCAGCGGTTCTGAGAAAAAAAGTATCGACCTATTACCCGAAAATTACGGTATATATTATGGGATGACAGCAGCAACCTGCTAACTGCTTACTTTTTAAGATGGCAGCTTAAGAAAGACTTCAATTTTATTGTTTCTCCCTCTAAAGTGTTAACTGTTTATAGGGTTTAGAATAATGTTTATGCCCTCTCTCAACCCAGTATGAAAATACTGGGTTGGTAGGTAGGTGATAAAAAAATTCTCAGAAAATTACAATGCTTAATTTTATAGCTAGCCAGATGGGAGGACAATTTTTTTTTTTTAAAAGATGGCCTAGTCTCTTTATAAGATTATTCTTTATAAATATTACTATAATATTCATTACGTTTTTCTAACTCTTACTGAGAGATAGGAAGAAGAAGCCTGTGATGGACTGAATGGTGGTCAACTGACTCTGAGGACTTTTGTACACTTTGGAAAACTCCACCAGTAAAACTCCAAAGGATTTAATTCCTCCAATGACAAATACGGCTATGGTGAAAGTACCTGGAAAAACATACATTTAATTTTAATTATCTTAATCTTTCTCATCTCAAAATTCACAGTGAATCCTCTAGATCAAAATGCATCATTGTTTATACATACTGTATGTGTACTTAAACTAGCGAGCTTCATATTTTAGCAACTTTGGAACATATGCCAAATTATGTACACATACAGTAGGCATTGTGACAGTCTTAAATAGTAAATATTTTTAAAAGATATCTTTTCAACATTCACTAGCTGTAAATAATTTTTAGCTTAACCCTTCATTTAGGGGTAAAAATCAACATATTTTTATTTAAAAACAAAAAAAAACAAAGAAACAAAAAAAAAAAAAAAAGAAAATAAGTAAAAATTTAATTTCTTTTTTATCTCAGAATATTCATCAATAGACATTATAAAAATTATTAGACACCCTAGTACTTCAAAGTATTGAGTAATGAGTACTTTAGTTTGTATCAAAGGAGTGTACATACCGAACAGTACGACCCAGGCCCAGCCTTTGTCCACCGGTACATCATACTGGGGTGTCTGGAGTTCTCCAGCTGCCTGGTGACCACTGTCTTCCTCTTCATTTCTGTGGTCACTATCTCTCTTCATGTTTTCTCTTTATGGCTCATTAGAAGGACTCTGAATATTGCAGCTGACTTTAACAATCAGTTATGATAACTAAAATTTAAATATGTGTGTTTATAAGAACAGTACAGGTAGAAAAAACTTCGTGAATTGGATCGTAATTGTAGAACATTTAAATGACATCTTTTATTAGTGTATTTATCATGCTTATGGCTCAAAGAAAGTAAGGTGTACATTAATTAGTATAACATACGTGAATCATTCGTAGCAAGTATTCTCTGTTTAATTTTTAGGATAAACATTTATAATTATGTACTATATTGCACCCCTAAAATTACACACCTTTGTTGATGGATGTTTCCCAGTAAGTACACATGTATTGAAAAAATGTATATATACAGTAGCGAACATGAAAATGTGATTTATTCTGTTTGCAACAAATTTTTCACTACTAAGCTTTGAAGATTTGAAAATTAAAATTACTAGTCTACACAAGAGGCAAAGAGGAAAGAAATGTCATGATACAAGCTGCATGGTTTAAGGCAATTCTTCAAGGTCTGACTTCCCCATTCCATCCTCAACATTCCAAACCCTTTCTCAACATATATTGAAATAAAAATTTAGAGGCATAATAGCAAGTCAAAAGAATCTTGGCTAAAACTGGCTGATGCGAAAACAGAGATCATAATTTGCCATTTACTGCATGACTCTGATTGTGACATCCAAGCATACCTGTCAACTCTCCCGAATTTATCGGGAGTCTACCGATTTTTAACCATCCCTACCGACTGTCTACCGATTTTTTTTTAAACTGCCGTTTCTACCGATTTTGAAAAAATCCGGATTTTTTACCTACCTTGGTTCGTAAAATACCGACTAGTCAACACAAAAATGGAGGTCATGCAGTGTTTATCGGTAGCTAATCTGTTTATTGCCACCGATAACAGGTAATCAACAAGGTGTCAACTGTGCTACCAGATGTAATTGCAGTTGTAATTGCTCCTTATTCTCATTAAAAGTGTATATTATCAAAGACAGAGATGCCAGATGTGAAAATTTTTACAGAACATGACGGTAAATAACGATATGGAAGTACCTGATACTTTGCTGCAAATAAGTTTACAAGTGCCTAAGACAAAACTATTTCTCCATAAACAATTCAGTTATCAGGAAAGATGTAGCTACAGTACTCTATTATCAATTTTACATGGAGAGGGTAACAATTTCATGGAAGCTAATATAAATGAAGAGTCTGAAGATTTCCCCACAGATTTTGAGATTCAATGTTTTAGTAAATCCTGCATCAACATCAGCATATAACAGCCCCTGAAACTACAGAGCAACAAGACAGTGTCTTTAGAAGACTTCTTTAGATTTACAAAGCTAAACAGGGTAATACATTTCTAAATTAAAATATAAAATTAGCACATTAGAACATTACTCAAATAAAGAATTACATTAAAAATTCTGATATATGTTATGAGATTAAAAGAAAAAAATACAGGGTCCATGTATTTCATTCATACTAGATTACACATTATTTTAAGAATATAAGCATGAGGTTTTGACAATTATTTCAATTTCAGATCTTTAAATCCAGGACACAACTCATGTTCCTTAAATTAGACTTAGTGAGAAAAATCCATTCATACATCTATTAAAAGCTGGAAACTCAGACTGTCTGCAGAATCTTATTAATTTTTCTAATTGCCAAGTTAAACTACAACATTTGCCATGAATATCAAATAAATGATGCTCTTATGAACAGGCAGAATAGCTAAATAGTGAAAATAAATTTTTATAATTTCAAACTTAAATCACATTGTACAAGTTTCTAAACAATGTATGAATAAACAGTAAATTTTATGAATTAATGATAATGTTAATATCAATAATAAAGTTTTATCTTGTAAGTTGTTTATTTTTTGTTCTATAAAACAGTGAAATGCGCGACTTTTTGTATTTGCAAAAGGTCGTCGCGCGTTTTCTCCCCCGAAAAATTTTGGCCATGTTGACAGGTATGTCCAAGGGTCTTGGTTTATAACTTTTATAAATAAATATTTATACCTACTAAAGCATTGACATTTCAAAATTTCTCTTATTTAGACCTTAATATAGTATTTTGTTGTACGGGAACCTTAAAAAATGCACAATTCAAATTGTGTATCTTCATGCAGAAGTCATGCTGCATGAGCAAGTAGGGCCTACATACATACTCCCATGCTTAATGATCAAGTTTAGTGCTTTAGTCCCAGCCTTTAACCTTGATTATGTAAACAACAATTCATCAATGATATAAGTGAGCAATGTCATCGGTAGAAAACATTTTAAAAAGGAGTAGAAAATCCATTACCTTCCGTCTACCTGCATGATGCAAGATGCTGATCAGCCTCCCTGGCGGTTGTCGCAAAACTTAAACCTTCAAAATATAAAAGGTAATAGTTAAAGTTATGCATTGTCAATCAAAACTAATCCACATATATGTTCTAAATCTTAATCTGAATGTAAATCACTTTACAAACATATTGCGACAACCCCTTGGCGTGCGAGGTAAAAGCAGAGATATTTGTTAATAAAGAAAATTGCCATTGTTGTAACTTGTTTGCGCAAAAAAGATTGAAATCATCGTAGTTTATTCATATTTAATTTATTTTGATAATTTTTGGCAATTGATCATTGGTCTTTTTGCATCGTTTTTTCTCATTTTGTGGGAAATGACAGTTTTAAAAAGTGGAGATGATGGGGTTTAGTTTTACCCTTGCCGTATTTTACCATCATGCTGAACTTCCGGTGTCAGTAGATTCATTGAGAAATGGAATTTTCAAAACTGTGTGTTTTCTTTGGTCTTGCTGCAATGTTACATGCGGCATACTCAGCTGCACAACGTAAGCTGTCAATAATTGTTAATTCAGAGTGATGAAAATTTTCATTTTGATTTAATAAAAGTAAATTTAATCTCTGTGGTATGCTAAAAAAAAACAAACACAGGAACCTATTTTATCGCCTGTATTTGTGATGTATGTACAGTCAAACCTCATTATTTTGAAACCAAAACTAGCATATGACAAGGATTCGAGATATGTAGGTTGAATTACCTGAAAAAAGTGGTTGGGTCTTCCGATTTCCCCATAACTTTGACATATTCATCATTGTTCATAGTGTTTTTGATATCTTTCTTTTAATCCTTCTACGACAGGTACTTGGGTCTTGGTTTATAAATATGTATGTACCTTATTGATATGGTAGAAAAAGTAATGGTATGCAGCTCTGTAAATGGCTTGTTCTTTGAAAATAATGGTGCACCTACCGATTTTTCTGCACCGAATGTCTTGGAACATCAATTAAAATTTAAATATAATCGAATTATCCCAGAATTATTTATAAATTTCCCAGAATGTCTCTAGAATTTTGGAGTGTCTGAATGGATAGAATTTACCGTTTTGAATTGGGTTTAAGAATTTGCACTTAGTTCCGGGCACGTTAACGAAAAGTTTGAAGAAGTGTTTAAAAATCACTTTTTAGGAATTATTTGCAAGATGTGAGTGTTTTTTACAATAAGTAATCGGTATTCCGAGACGTCCTGTGTAGAAATATCAGTAGCTGCAGCATTATTTTCAAAGAACAAGCCATTAAACAAGCGAGTTGAGCAGACGCCATTACGGAGCCTGCATACCATTACTTTTTCTACCATATCAATAAGGTACATGCATATTTATAAACCAAGACCCAAGTACCTGTGCCTTCTGCATGTATCATAAAGATGATGGTATGTTGAGACAGTCACCAGTAGGCTGAGTAATGATACCTTTTTGCTTTTAATTTAGATCTGATCTCTTCTTCAAAGCTCACATGAATTTTGGTATACCTCTATTTTTTTTCATTTTTAAATGTTACTTACATGATGTCAATACTGAATAGACAACTTTCACATTTAAATGTTACTTACATGATGTCAATAGACAACTTTCACATTTACAAAAAAAGTTATTCCCCTATGTGGGGTCAATCCAGTCCCAACCGGGGTAAGTCACTGTTTTCCTTGTATAATTTTATCAAATTTATGGGTCAGTATCTTAGAAATAAAATCTGTGTGAATATGTTCATTATGTTTTTCATGTAGCCCCATTCTCTGGCATTTACGGGTTCAGATCGGAATTGTCCGATAACGTTTGTAGATTAAAAATATTAACAGGTAACTTAGAAAGGACAATGTGGAAAAAATGAGCGTTAATACGCAGACAACGGGAGATAACTCTTAGGAATGTGAAATTCATCTATGTATGTTGCATTACTAAACTGAAGATGTCCTGATGTGCATGATGTGAGAAAGTTTTGTTTTTGTTAATGCCAGTCAGTATGGTTGCTGATATATGCTTCCATTTTGTGTAAAATTGTTTTGAAATCAACAAGAATATTTTTTATTATATAGTACATTATAGTTAGTAATGTAACAGGAAAGAAGGAAATGTATGGCTGGACCAGGAATCGAACCCGGGACCCCTGCATCTCCAGTCAGGTGCTACCAACTGAGCTATCCTGAGGCCTGTTCAGCTGGGCAAACGCGAGAGCTCGCCAAAATTCCTTATACCTCCGATAGTAATTCTGGCGAGTGCTCGTGAAAGTTCGCTCCGTTGAACAGGCCTCAGGCCAATATCCACGGCCCAAACCATTACATTCCTTCCTCCTTAAATGGTCTTCACCCTTGAATACACAACCCAAGTTCTTATAACCCCCTGGCAGAACTTTCACCTGCAATTCCAGGGGTGGTCAATGCCACTGCATAAGTACAATATGATAAAAAAATTAGGTCGTTAAATGTTGGTATCTTGAACATACATTAAACTGTAGCAACTTTGGCAGAGTCATATTAATTAGACAAACACATATTGTTTTGATTTTTACTTTGCTTTAAATGATCACATTTTTCATTTTAGACAGGACCTACCTTCGATTGACAGAGCAGGAATTCACCACTTTACCGATTGATGTAAGTGTTTTAATTAACATAATAGTACAGTGTACAGTAATACAGTCAAATTTTGTTATATCCTACTCAATGGGAACAAGTAAATGTGCTTGAGAATTTCAAATCACTTTGACATTTAACCATAAACAGTCAAACCTCATTATTTGAACTCAATTGGACCAAGAAAATACTGAAATATCCAAGGATTCAAGATATCAAGAGTAAAATAAAGAATACATATATGTATAAACAGTGCATGTATCCATGGTTTATGAGATATTACTACAATGTGTATTAGATATATCTAGATTTACATAACCGATTTGTTGTTTTAAAATCTGTTTTTGAAACTGTGTGCCTTAAATGTGTTTTGGAGTTTTCTTCTCAATATAAATTCTTTTTCCCCTGAGTGATTAGAAGTAAGTCAAAAGGAGTAGCTCTATCTTAAGAATGTTTTAAATCATGCTTCTTGAAACAAATATTTACTAAAAAAAAAATGAAAGAATTTTTTATGTCCAGCCACAAATATGGTCAAGGTTATCAGTGCTTGGCTTGTCTGCCTTCCTAGTTCATCCTTCAGTCCTTCAGCATGTCCTTGACTTTCAGTTCTTCTGTCTGTCCTTGACTTTCAGTCCCTCTATCTGTCCTTGACCTTACTCTTCCTCATTTACTCCAATCTCAAAGAAAGAAGAATTATCAAATAAATTTCATGTTGAATTACTAATGAACCCTTAGCAGACGGTTCATGTTGGACTGTCCTATTTGGTATTGACATATTTCTAGTTATAAATACTGTAGACGTACTTTTTTCCACGGGGTCATAATTCCACGGAATCTCAATTTCTGTTTAATCCACGGGTAGAAAATTATGCGGATTTTCTAGAATTTTACTACATGCCTTACATTTATATTAAGTACGCTTGGACAAATTTCCGCAGGAAATTTGTGACCGCTTATGTAGCGTAAATTAATACCAGGCAGAAAAAAAGTACTTCTATAGTATACTGCAAATAATATTTTGTTTCCAAAAACATGTAATACATGTAGGTAAATTATATGCACTCACACGTTTTACTGTTTACAGAAAATCTGGCAAATAGTATACACCTTTTTCATCTAGTAAATTGATCAAACAAAGTTGCTCACTTTATAACTTTTTAGATATATTTTATAGAAAGGTTATTACATTATTGTAATTTTTGTTTGTAAAGTAATGTATGTTTGTCTTTTTTTCATCAGATTATAGTTCAGTGTTTTGTGGGACTGCTATTGACTTGTTATGGGGTTGTCCATGTGGCTGGATCTTTCAGAGAAATCTGTGCCAGTGCAGAGCTTGAATCAAAGTAAGTTTATTCTATATTTTGTTTTATTTTACTTTTTTCATAGATTTGTATGATTTAAATCAAGAGTTACTTGGAATAAATAGAAAAAGTAGTTACAACTTTTTATTCACAATTTATCACACTTTTCATATATACATCAATCAATCTTAATGTAACTGAATCCACTTCATTCTTTTTTGTGCTTATACATGTAAGTCCTAAATTTAGCTTATGTTGAGCTACAAAGGGTCATCTGACATGGTCACTCATGATATGTTTTTCTCAATAGCAGGGACCAAAGCTTAAAAAAAAACAATAGCAGAAGGGCCACAATATGTAATCAAAAACAAGTATATCAAAAGTGAAGCTATTTTTTCTATTCAATCTTTGCAATCAAATGGTAGGGTGGGTTTGCAGAATGGATAAAATAATTAAATGGATATATGCAACAAAATCTCAGAAAGTAAACAGGGCCAATGTGACTCAGATGAGCATTGAAACCAATGGTTGACTTGTTTTTAAAAAATGTTAAGACATAATTTAAACTTTTGCAGGACTTGGGATATGTTAAGCAATAGACAAGCCTTTTACTCCTTCTGTCATAGAGGTATGGCCATCAATTACAGAGAAGAGGACAATGAAGACAGCTGATGAAGAAAGTGAGCTTGTGGGCAAACAATACCAAAGGATGTTCATGTGAAATAAACTAATGTAAAGGGCAGTCTAGTGGATCAGTGTCCAGATCTCGTGTCAGAATTTTGTGTATTGTGAATGATGTATGTGAATGTTTCTCTGTGTAAGAGTTTTTGTGTATTGTTGTTTGACATAATTGTGTGTGTGTACATGTTTTAATATTTGTGTAAAAGTTTTTAGCTTTTTTTGGCATTTTGTTGTTTGACATCGAAAATTTAATTGCGCTTTATTTGTTATAGCTTCTTTAATAAGCTTCTTAAAATCGCTAAAATTACATCTCGTTTAAAATTAAGGTGCATTTATTTCGCGCATCGTAGTTATTATTTACCAATGCAACTTTTTTCACTTAATTATTAAAATTAAACAAAATGTTTTATAAAAATAATTACAATTTGACATAATTGATTTTTTTAACCGATTATATTTGTTGAGTGTTTTTGACAAAGAATTAAAAATATTATTAGAAAAAATAATAAACATACGCTTTCATAAAATTTAAGAATATCTATATTTTTATTATGTTTTCATGTGAATCCATTGTGTACCATAATCAAAAAATAGAAAATTTGCTATTTTTTTGCATTTTGGGGCATATAGAATTTTGTGTTTCTTACATATATTGTATAATATAGTCCATTTATTATAGTTTGAACAAAATGTCTATTGTAGTATTTGTATAATTTGCTTTAATGTGCAAAAATTGGCATTTTCCTATATAACTTTAAATGTACCTGATTGATGCAAAGGTTTTCAAACTTTGCATGTTTTAATGTGTATATATGGTATAAAAATGAAGAGTTTCCATTGTGACACAATAAAACTATAGTCAATTACCAATTTTTAAGGATAAATCCTTTCTGTTAATTTTCTTTATTTTGTCTTGATATTAAATTAATTAATGCCTTTCATCATCGCCTGAAAGATTTACCTACTTTAGAAAAAAGATGCCATCAGGGGGCATCAGTGTTTCACAAATTCATCTTGTTTAATTTAAAAATGATTTGATTTATAACTGCTTATATATCATAATAACAGTTTAAATAGAATTATTGTTCAGATAGGGTTTTATGATAACTTGGTTTTCTTGGCCTAAGAGAATGGGAGTGTGAAAAAGTGAGGGTGTAAGGGGACAAATCAATGTGAAAGAATGCAAGGGCATTAAGAGAGAATGTAAGGTGACATTGTGAGAGAGTGAGAATGTGTGGAAACAAGTGAGAGTGCAAGGTGCAAAATACAAGGGAGCAGGAATTGAATGGAAACAGCAAGACAATTTGAAATAAGCATCACCCATATTTTGTCTTCTTTGTGTTTTTATTTTGGATTCTTTCCACATTTTGTCCATCTACTGTAAATGTATTTTATTTGGCATGTACAATATTTGGCGGAAATTGATTTTTTAACAAATCGGCATAGATTTGAATTATATAGCCCTTTCTGAATGTGCTTTATGTGAATATGTGTAAACAGGCATTCCTCAAAAGGCTTGATTAAAATACACTGCTTTTATGATAATTTACAGTATATGACCTTAAGTTATGTCCCATAGCAAATGAGGAGAAAGGTCCTATGAGAACTCCATGGAACAAAGACTAAATATAACCTAACCATTGTATGAAATGTATATATACAGGAAGAAATAAAACATATCCAGGAGTCAAGAAGACTTTGATGTTTGTGTTAATTTTGATACTTTTGGTCTCCTTCCTTAGGCATATCATTGGAGACAGAGATTAAGAAAATCATTCTTTTTGCAAGTGATCTTGAACTTTCTGGAATGACATTTTTGCAAGGTTATGATGCACCTTCGGTTATAAAAAATTGCAGAGCTAAGCATCAACATTTTCTGTTAAAAAGTTATAGCCTGGAAAAGAAAACTATACTTTACTTTGTCAGTGACATGACCTTGTAGAAATGACCCTTCTATAAGGTCATAACGGACATACTCTGGGACATAATAAGAATTCTGCCATTTTAAGTATAAACTTTCAATAATATAGCACCAATAAAAGTGCACTGATCAACGGTCAAGATAATTCATATATTCAACAGAAAACTATTGTATAAAGTGAATGAGGCAGCCACCTGATGATCGAGACTTTTCTAAGATTTAGTTTTATTTACCTGGTATGTGCTGTTTTTGCTGAAATCTGTGTTCCTTGGAATGTCCATTATTGTGAATTTAGCATCTTATTTAGATTTAGCATGACACTCGCAGCATCAATATTCAGCGATAATCAGTAGTGTCCCACCCCAAATGAACCCCTGACACTGGGTCCACACATTTCATAATGAAAAGGCACCCTTGCTCAATACATAAATATTTGATTAATACTAAGAGCAGATTTCAAAGCATTAATTTATTTTCAGTATATAATTAGAGCCCCCTCCTCCTCCTATATGGTACCCCTGACCCAGGGGCCTTGCAAATCACAATTCTGGAAGCACTCATCATAACTTATGTAATCAATAGAGCTCCACCCTAACACCAGAACCCCTGAGCCAGGGGCCATGAAATTCACAATTTTAGAATAGACAACCTTCCTCATTATGTATGTAGTTAGTTTAATACACAGGATCAGTGAAAAAGAATTTAAATGAAATGTATTTTCACCTTATAATCTATATAGCCCCGCCCTAACACTAGTACTAAAACTCTGATCCTAGGGCCATGAATTTCACAATTTTTAATTTTTTTTATGTCAACAGTTTGACTGCTTGCCCAGAAGTATAGAAGATTGTAAAAAATTTAATTAATTTTAGTGGGTTTGGCCCCACCCCTCAGGTCCCAGGGGGAGGGATCATGAAATTCACAACTTTTGCTCCTCTCCATCCGGAGGTGCTTTATGTCAAAATTGGTTGAGCGGTTGCAGAGAAGCTAAAAGTGTTCAAATATTAACACACGATGGACGAAAACAAATAGTTAGAGATCACCTAAGTGACTCAGGTGACCTAAAAATGGAACTTGTACATTTACTTACTTTGTCATTGGTCATTTGTCAAATTGTTTTGTTAAAAAACATTCTGATTGAGTTATTGCACACAATTATATTCTGAAGTTGATATTATAAAAAAAAGATGCTTGAGTGGTTTATGTAGTTTTGGAGACCGGAGGCCTTTTCAACTGAGCGAACGTTCGCGAGCGCTCGCCAAAATTGCTTTTACCTCCAATAGAAATGTTCGCGATCGCTCGATCTGTTGAACAGGTCTCGGGTCTTCCAGTAATCTATTGGAATTCCAATGGGTACCAATTGAACCCCATTATCAAAAGACCTATTTCTGCAATCATGTGAAGTAAATGTCCAAAATCTTATACGTGAAAAGAAGAAACGCTTGCTGCATGTGGTCTTCAGCTCGACATAAAATATTCGACGACGTGTTACTATTGTACGTTGGACTTTTGAAGGTGTATACAGATCTATGGATTCATGTAAGCTTTGCAAGCTTTTGACCAGTATGCTACTTTTAGCAACTTGTAGAGAATTCGCTATCAAACATCAATGTCGTGATGCAATGATATAAACTCCTTCGTTACATTACAATATATGCAGCTTATTTTTAGGATCTTCGAATTCAAGGAAACTTTGTCCATATACGTGCCGCCCCCCCCCCCCCCCCCGCTCTGTCCGTTTAGTACACTAGGAAAAATACACAGGCACCTGACGTTACTTATTTTTCTTCAAATAAAATAAATAATACCCTACCTAATGTGTATTATAAGGTAGGGGTTGTATTTTTTTTATTTAACTACGAAAGTCCATTAATTGTACGAAAGCCCATTGGGTTCATATTTGTAGGTGAAAAAAATCATTTTTCGCGCGAAACTTTCGCGAATAAACGCTAACTTACGCGTTATAACGCGTAACCGTCGCTTTTTACGCGAAATAATAAGCATGTAGTAATGCTACTCAGGAACCCTGTTCTTGACTGACAGATAAGAACATAAATGCAGACGAGAACTTTCATGAACTTATTTATAAACTAACATTTCCTCGGAAGATGTAATGGAGTAATGATGCGAGAATTAAACATTAGTCATCAGAATTTATTTTTATTTCAAAACCTAGCTTACCAAATGAATTTTACTTTCTTGCACATGTTTTTTAATCGTTAAATTCAAGAAATTTTTTACACTGACTATTTTTTTTTAAGGAAAGTCTCCACTTGACACTTTTATCAAGCTGTATTCTTTTATCAGTAACATTTACTACAATTGTACCACTGACTCAAAATTATAGCCTGTAGAAAACATGGCTTAAAAGTGAGTGAACAATGTGTCATTTCATGAGCTTAACGTGCCATGTGATGCTTTTATCCGGTTTTCACCAACGTGGTGGGACACAATTGACAAATTTATCTCATTCTGCTAATTTTCTGAGATCTTGATCTTTACAAAAAAAAAATTTCTTCTAATTATCAAGAGAGTGTATAAAAAAAGACGCATGAAAGAGGTGATTTTTTCCCGAAAATTCATAATCATGAACGTTATATATTGTAACTTTTGGAAAACTAGCATAAACTTTGAATTGTATGAACAGCGTTGAGAGAGACAACATGTGACGGTAAAAGGGATTCAGTAGCAAGTTTGTAGTTTGCGAAAGTCGAAAATTAAAATATTTTTTTGCTTTTCATTGTAGTGAATAAACTTGATCACAAAATCAAAAGAATGTTGAGACATATGCAAATATCTTGGTTAAACAGCAAAAGTTTCACGTTATAGCGCGAAAGCTACGCGTTTATTCGTGAAAGTTATGCGTTATAACGCGAAAGTTACGCATTTATTCGCGAGAGTTTAATTCGCGTTATAACGCGAAAGTTACGCGATTATTTGCGAAAGTTTCCCGTTATATCGCGAAAGTTTCTCGGTAATTTGCTTTGTTTTTGTTCTTTCTAACTCTCTCTCTCTCTCTCTCTCTCTCTCTCTCTCTCTCTCCCTCGTACTTGCAATAATACAAATATTTCTCGAGGGGGAGGGGACACATTCTCTTAATTTTAACTTTTAAATTGTAAGGATCATCTAATTGACAAAAAAGATTGTTTCAAACTACGAATTGGGAACATTTGATATATAAATCGAAACACGCCCAAATCGTTTGAGAAAATAAACTGTGTAAATGTCAGAAGTCCGTGTGTGATTATTTTATCCCCTCAAGTTTGTGTGCAATTTTATACCCTCTTCCACATCAAATTCTCTATCAGCCCGAGAGACCATGCAATATCAGCCAGAGGACCTAATATTGGTGTCTCGGTCTGATATAGGATGTGATATGGTGATATGGAAAATGGTATGTATTATTCGATCTCTATGTACCGGGGTATTTGTATAAGAATGCCCCGGGATCGAAAAATCCCAGGGGTGTATTGTTATTATGTTCCTGGATCTAAAGATTTCGGAGGTATATTGTTTTCGTCCTATCTGTCTGTTTATCTGTCTCTGTTGTCAACTTGTGCGCTGTCAACGGTAAGCATATAATACCACTTCAGTCTACGTCCCACTCCAGAATTGTGTCACCATCGGGGGAATAGTGTTCACAAACACTTCTTGGTTTTATATTAAAAAAGTGCCAGCTTGAATTGTTTTCAAAAGTCCCACTAATGACTTTATAATACTTTTAATTTGTAATTTTTTTTTATCAAATCCGACTTGTACTAATTAAGATATAGATCTAATCTAATCTAACACTTCAAATTTCAAATTTTGTTTAAAAAAAAAAATAGTAATTTGTTTTAGCAAATTATTAATGTATTATAATAATAAATTGTTAATTTGTTATATCAAATTATTCATTCGTGATAGCAAATTATTAATCTGTTATGTTATATGTTTATGCCCAATCATGAATGGGCCCTGATTTGGTAATATTTACATCCACTGAATATTTTCTCCTTTATTTCTTAAGAAAAACCCATTGCGTTAATCACTGCATGAACTACAGAAGGCATGTCGCCTGTACAGATCTCTTGATCAGTGCTGTTCCATCAATGAAACGTATAAAGACGTTCGCATCATTAATACAATAATTAATCTCTTTAATCCTACTTTAAATGATTATTTAAAATGTCTTTATTTGTTTGTTATTACGAAAGCCGGATAGGCTCACTTCTGAAAAGATAAAAAAAATATTTAACTCGTTATAACGAGTTAATTATCTCGTTAAAACGACTTACTTATCTCGTTATAACGAATAAGCATCTCGTTATAACGAGTTAATTATCTCGTTATAACGTGTTAATTATGTCGTTATAACGACTTAGTTTTATCTCGTTATTACGAATTACTTATCTCGTTATAAGGAGTTAGTATCTCGTTATAACGAGTTAGTTTTCTCGTTACAACGAATTACTTATCTCGTTATAACGAGTTAGTATCTCGTTATAACGACTTAGTTTTATCTCGTTATTGCGAATTACTTATCTCGTTATAACGAGTTAGTATCTCGTTATAACGAGTTAGTTTTCTCGTTACAACGAATTACTTATCTCGTTATAACGAGTTAGTTTTCTCGTTATAACGAGTTAGTTATCACGTTATAACGAGTTAATTATCTCGTTATAACGAGTTAGTTATCTCGTTATAACGAGTTAATTATCTCGTTACTAATGTTTTTTAATATGTTTTGGATGACTTATTAGCTTTCATAATCAATGTCTAAGTTCCTAAATTAATACATTATAATAGCAAGCTAACACAGGCGTTAATGCAACATATATTATATACACTTACAGTGTGATATATATTATTTTGAGAGTCAGAAATGTTTTGAAGAAGAGGGATATGGAGACATCAGCAATTAGGTCATGGACGTAAAATTCGGGGCTACTGTCTACTCATAACACAACATCACGAGGCAGTCAAAAGTTTCCGTATACATGTACACGTATTTATCCTCGGACTTTTAAGTTAAACAATACAAATCAAATGCATGCATCGTTTATAAATAAACGAACTACAATTACAGACATATCTTCTCGAAAAAAAAAAAAAAAAACTAGTTTGCTGTTTTTTCAATAAAATCATACACACTTTGAACAAACTTGATCGACTCGGTTTTATATGCCATATACTTCCTATCACTTAGATATATCAACTTTAGACCAGTTTTTAACTCGTTTATAACGAGAAAATTAACTTGTTATAACGAGAAAAATTACCTCGTTATAACGAGAAAATTATCTTGTTATAACGAGATAACTAACTCGTTATAACGATCGAGATAATTAACTCGTTATAACGAGATAACTAACTCGTTATAACGAGAAAACTAACTCGTTATAACGAGTTAAAGTTTTTTATCTTCTCTGAAATGAGCCTATCCGGCTTTCGTAATTACTGGAATTAACGGTCGCAGCTATTGCAGAAAAAATTTACATAACCCGCTTGCGCGGGTTATGTATTTTTTCTGCAACAGCTGCGACCGTTAATTCCAGTAATAACTAGAGGTACTGTGAGCAATGAGCTCACTAAATGATACCCCCCGCCTCCCATATGAATAAAATGGCAGTGTCCATGTTTTGCTCTGGAAAATCCAAAATATATGTCAGATCAAAAAGTAAAATAGGAGGTGCACAATGGCAATATGTAATAAAGATTCTGTGAAAATTTCATTAAATTTCATTCAGTGGTATGAGGGGAGTTGCGGATAAGAGATGGGTAACCCAAAGCGTAACAGACGGACGGACGGACAGACGTACAGACGGACGGAATTAACGATTACTATATACCCTCCCGCTTTTCAAGCGGGGGGTATAACAAACAAAGAAAGCACTTATTGTTTAAATAAAATATATTCTTACTCTATTCTATAACGAAATACTAATCTGTTTTCAATTAACAAATTGATAAATAATTTGTAATATCAAGTTGATAATAAATTGATTTGTTATAACAGATACTTATTTGATATGAAAAGTTATTTCTTTTATTAAAAAAATTAGTAAACATAAATTTTCTTATTAATTACAAATTATTAATTTGATTAATTTGTTATTTAAAACACAATGAGACCTAAAAGATAATGCTTCCGTACATATAGCCCTTTGTACTGTATTTCTTTTATAAATTTTTTACTTCATAGTTTAATCTGTTTAACATGTTTAATGAGAGTAAAACTTTAATTTAGCCAAGTGACATTGCCTGTGGAGATCCCAGGCATGAATGTAAGTCACTGCGCAATCGCAGTGAATGACCACGTGCGTCCCTTAGCCAATCGCATTATTTCGGTGTTCATCGCCGCCAAGCTCGTTTTGCTAGAATAGCCGATTTAATTGAAAGTATTGTTTCTACATTATTTATCATTTAGGACAGTTTATATGTATTAACCAAAATGTATTTTACTTTCCTGTTTATTCGACAATGACTTTGGACTGTGCACATACGAAGGATTGTCGAACTGTTTATTTGTTTACAACTTCGGAACAGAGTTCCGATATTTCAATGGACGCCATTTTGTCATTGGGATTTTAAAGAATTTGAGAACTTCGGGAAAAGTAGCCACGGACACAGCAATCCTCTAAGGGCACTGAGGTAGCCGTGGTATAATCTTCGAAGTCAGCTCGATATTTTGGACATTTCACGATGGCAAATTCCAACACGACCCTGGCTAGTTTGTGGGTCGACGATGGTAATGCTCCCTTGTTGTGTATCCCCACTTCCGTTTTAGCACCACCTGTCATTGTCATCTGGGTAGCGTGGTTTACTCTCATATAGATAATCAATCAGAAATTTATTACCTTGTTCGATATTTATCATATTTCATGCAACAGTTTACAAATGAATAATCGCAAAAGATTATTCTGACTCGGATGTGTATGCTTTTTTAGTTCAGTTTGCACATAGGGTCTAACCCAATCCAATGAAAGTGTGTGCACTCTTGATAGAATGATATGTCAAGTGTGGATTGCTTTAATGAGTAAGAATGAAATAGCATGAATTGTGTACATGCTTTTTGAACAGGGACTGACAACTAGATTTTTAAGGCACTTGTCCAAGGGCAAATACATAGTCAAAATTCACTTGCCCTACTGTACCTGAATTTTTGCTTGCCCTACAAAAACTAATCATGCATTTATAAATATTTCCAACAAAGAGGAAGACAAAACTGAGTAGATCATGCAATCCCCTATAGATACCCAGCTTTAAATCTATGGGATACATATTGATTTTATTTTTGATAAGTCATTTGCCCAAGTGTTTGAAAAAGTTTCACTTGCCCACCCCTAAAATTCACTACCCTTGAGCATTGGGCAATGGGATTTGTCATCCCCTGATGAAATTTGATAGGGTGTGTTAAGAAATTAAGACTGTTTTGTAATTAAATGGTCTTGTACCAAATCATTGCCTGGTTTAATGATTCATTGCTCAAACTTTTTCGGACATGATGCTCTTTATGAAGTTGCCAAATCATTCTAGTTAATTATAAAATCATTAGATCAGGGTTTGTAATATCATTCTAAGATTGGCACTTAATCCAGAATGTGTAAAGGTGTTTATTAATGAATTGCTTTTGTGTATTATATTTGTAGTTTTTGTATTGTAGTACAAGTTAGTCCAGTGAAGGTCATGCCTAGTACTCCAGGAAAAGCTGCAGGTAACGGGACAGAGATCCGGCAAGACATTGTGCGGTTTTACAAAGACAGTGGATTGGAACCAGTTGCTAAAGAGGTAATGTATACACAACAAAAATCTACCTATTTTTCTACTCAGAAAATATGGCCAGAGACTAATAAGTAATGCTTAGTCTAGTACTAAAAGATGAATTTAATAATGAATGATAACAAATTGATGCATATATAACAAATTTCAGCATTGCAGATTGAGGGGGTTAAGAAGTTGAGAAATATGTAGAACTCTTACATTTTATTGATTGTATGGATGGATTTTTTGAGTGGAAGGTGTCCTAAAAAGTCTTTTCAAAAAAGTTTGTGATAAATAATTTGGTGGTAATTTTCATTGAAACCTCATTTGGGTTTTTAATGACCCCTTTGAAGAAGGGAGGGCTTATTACTTTGCTGCTGTCTGTCAGTTAGACAATGTGTCTCTCAGTCCACCAACAGTTTCCGTTCATTTTCTTCGCTGAGGTTGCACATACTGAAGTGAAATTTGGTATACAGATTTATCATAACAATATCTAGGTCAAGTTATGTTTTGATTTTAACTGTGTTTGTTATTTTCACCCTTTTGCACTTGCAAAGATTTTTACCCCGTTTACATTCGCCCAGTCATAGTTCTGTTTAAGAAATTATGCTGTGTTCTTTGTATTTGCCCGGTTTTAAATTCGCCCACCTATGAAGAGGGCCAAAGGAGCGACTATGAAATGAAGTGGAGCGATAACTTTTTAGAAAACGTCAGTTCAGATGACGTTTGAAAAAAATTGAGCGTGATGCAAATTTAATAAAGGGATGCACAGCTGAAGGTCACAAACAATGAAAAAATGGCTGTGTACTCGGCATGTTGACAATAGCCAGTGTTTTCAAATTTGTTGTAGCAAAATTAACCGCATGTCATTTTGCCGGCTATGAAATTTCTATCATTAAGATTTTGCCGGGGCTGATACGTGAAATACATCGATTTTATCGAAACTATTTCCATGATCTAGAGTAGCTTCCCTTGAGTGCGCTCTTTTTTCAAGGAAGTTTAATTAGATCGATAGTGTCTTGTAATGCCGTCGTGGACAACGAATATTTGAGCAAAGTCACTAAGTCATGGAGAAACATGCTGCTGCTGTAACAAATGCGTTTGAGATCACATACATTAAGAGGCATAAAGCATGGTCCCTTCCGAAAAGATTTGTTTGTGTTTTGTAATTTTCTTGAAAATTGATTGTGCGGCAGCCTTAATATTAAGTGAGGGGTTCCCCGGTGAAAAAACGGCAAATAAATATAATTTTAAGACCTTACGAAAAATGTTGAATTCTTACAGAATTTCCTCAAACTGAAAATCTCAAGTGTTAAGCTAAGACGTAATAATTACGAATAAAAGTCTTAATATTTTGATCGTGACTCAGACGTACATGTAGAAATTCTAAAGAATTTCCTCAAACTGAAAATGTAAAATTTTATTCTCATTTATTCGTGTAAAGATATCTTGAAATACAGGAACAGTATCATTTTCACATTTGGGAAGGTTTTAATGTACTAGTATTTTGTATCAAATTCCATTTTCTTAATTATTTTGTTCTGACAATCTGTACATAATGAAAATGCCAAAGTAAATAAGTTTTAAAATTATTTTATGAAACGTCTAAGATTGCAGAATATTTCAATTTTTGGAGGGTACTGTACATCACCAAGTGTTAAAAAAATTACATTTTTAACTAAATAATTTTTTTTTGAATTTTGAATAAAAGGCCTGACTAATTTATGTGAAAGGGACAAATATGTAGAATTTTCAGAAAATATTCTACCACAGACAATTGTTTTTATTAGAATTTCATACTTTTAAGTTGTCTATATGTTTATATAGACACTTAGTTTTCAGAAGAAAAAAAACTCAGTCTGTCAAAAAACTGTCAAACAAATCTGTGAAAAGGTAAAAAATGTTTTCTAATTGGCTTTTTAAGGTAAAATTTGATAATTGATAATGACAGGAATGTGAAAAAATGGTACTTTTTTAATAGCCTGAGAGGTAAGAAAATGAGTCAAAAATGCTGATTTTCTTTTCGGCCGGGGGGCTTTGTCCCCCTGGGCCCCCTACCAGGGCTCTGCCCTGAACCCGCTGGGGGCCTAAGGTGGCCCCCAGACCCCTCGCCGAGACTGGTTTCCTGCTATTCCATCTATTTTTCCTTCTATTGAAAATCTTATTGAAAACGCTGATAGCCAATTAAATTTGTTGTAGCAAAGTCATAAAACATGTCATTTCCTTTTATTAAAGACTTTCTATACCAAGGAAGGAACATAGTAAGATTAAAGGCTGTTGACAATAATCCAGGGCATTTTAGTGATGTTATTCATATGACTTTCACAGCAACAAAATACGGTAAAAGTATCTGGTCTGACAAAAGTTTAAATGGTTCGACAGAACATTTGACTTTGTCGGACCAAATGTCTGACAGTGAATTAAAAAAATTTTCCACAAGTCTGCGAAAATTTCTCTGTATACAGTAAACAAATCTTCTGTTTGGTTACAAGTGTGTTTATAATTTCAAAATTCTGACAAAACAAGATGATGACTATAACACAGATAACTTCTAAAAATATCGAAGATTTAGTAGAATGAAAGATTCTTTAATATTTTCTATATAGTATGTTCATGCTAGTTTCAAATGTAAAGTTGATTATTCCAGTGATTGCAATTAAAAAAGCAGGAAAATGGTAAAAACAACTCCTAGCTGCTTGTCTAAATTGGCCAGATCTGTGTACTGTATTCAAAATCCAGACCATTTTAGTTCCTGTATTGAATGTTGGTTGTGCATGAGATATCGTAAAGGCTCAAAGAAATTGCGCTCAATTTTCAGACCAAGTTGACATTTCACATGTTTAGTTTCCATGAACATGCTCATTTAACGAAAAAAAAAATGTATGTTACTTTAAGAAAAACATTTCATTTGATAGCAAAGTTGCTTTTTATTATCTCATCTGCAACTTTTTACAGTTTAAGCTTCACCAGAACCCCTTGGCTTATTTCAGCAAAATATTCTTGGGTGAAGAAAATTCAGATTTAGGGGATATATTTATTAAGAAAAAAGTGAAAATTGGATAGAAACTCGGACATCATTTATGGGAGCACCCTCACTTATTGTAGAAAGCTTATTCAAATCATGACATCCCCCACCTATCCCAGGAAGATGGGGCTGAAATGGGTGATCAAAGTTTTACTTAGGAAAACATAGAAGTAAAAAAAAAATTCAAAAAAATTTTTTTTATCAAGAACAGCAAAGCCATGATCAGTGATATTGATATGGAAGTATCCTCCAAATAGTGTAGATTCATTTTTGATTAATTTCATGACCTCTCAGGGTAGGGTAGGGCCACTACTGGCAATCAAAGTTTTACACAGCAAAACTGGACAAATTTTGTTTAAAAAAATCAAGAACTGCAAAGTCATGTTATATATATAAAAACATGCATGGCATTTATTATCCCCTCGCGCAACTAGTTGCGGAGGGGAAATAGCATCGCGAATGTGCGTATGTGTGTGTGTTAGTATGTTAGTGTGTTAGTTACAGCTTGTGGGCAAGATTTACAGAGAACCTTTGCATTAACCACTCTCAGCCTTTACTTATTTGTGTGGCATTACAAAAGGAGGAAGCCTATTCATTTTCAAATCATTCGATGGAATATTTCTTAAAGTATAGCTTTTTACGACCTTCTAACCCTGAAATTTTATGTATGACTTGACAATGCTCACTTTCGCTTATTCGGGTTGCTTCAATAAATTGATGTTTTGTGTACGACTTGACAAATACCACTTCCGTTTAATCAACCTGGTAAATTCGGGTCGCTTCAATAGACTTGCTGAGTAAGTTATACTTTGTTACGTACATGTGTTTGTGCATTGTCATATAATCGTGCATTTTTGATACAGCCTGTATGAATTAACATGTCATCTTGGACGTTAAGTAATTGAAATAATTTGATGAACGTCGCAGTTTCATTACCAATTTTCAACAGGTATCTGGGGGTGCACGTTATTCCTGAAAGCACGAGTTCAGTTGACCTCTCGATGTACATTGTTATTTTTCAATTTTTCATTACAAAATAAAATACATATTGTCTGGAACTGTGAGATATACTTAGGTAGGTAAATTACTGAAACTTATACATGTAGCATACGTGATATGTTTATAAGGGACACTGCCCAATTACGTATGCATATTATGCCCCCCCCCCCCTTCCCCACTGAAATGCTATGCAATTTGATTTTTGTTAAAAATAGATACCCCACTCCACCCCCGATAATTTTGTTAGAAAAATAAATAGTGCTGAAAAAAATATTTTTTTCTCAACTTATATTAAACTTCACCAAATTAGGTATCCATGTTATGCCTCCCTCAACCAAGACGCTATGCACTTTGCATTTTGTAACAAAAATGGATCAACAACAACAACAACTCCCCCCCCCCCCCCCCCCCATTAATTTTGTCAAAAGTAAGGGAGTTGGTCCTAACGTTGAAGGTTCGAATCCCACCCTGGGATGTGGTGACTGGTCCTTCGAATGAGACCATGTAAACCAAGGGCCCATGTCCCAATAGATGCTTTCACAAAAAGATCCCTCACTGTTCAATGGCTGCCAGTGCCTATTATAGGGAAAAATTGTGCAGCTCTCCTCCTTCGAGCCTTCATATGAGCAAAGAATTCCTGAGAGGGACATTCAACAAAATACATTGTACTATCAATCTTTAACATGTTTAACGTCCCTCTAGAGAATTTATCTCTCTTGGGATTTTGCCATTACCATTGAAGTTCCTGTCATGAGGGGATGCTCCGCTTAGCAGTGCCCTTGTTCAAATTTGTTCAAATCAGAGCCCTCTGATGGTAGGATTGGGCCACCATAGGTGTCAGGTCAATTTTACATAGAATGTAAAGAAACATGAGAAAAAGGGATTAGCTGATGAAAAAAAAATGTCTTGGTTACTCCTGTTAGGGTATGTCAGGCCTTTCAAAATCTGCCGATACCCGGTACTTTTACCCGGTTGGATTCATTCATGGTACCGGCCAAAATATTCAGAGGAGAAAAAAAACCGCGAGAAAATACGATAGGCCCTAGGCCTATATGTTTTACAAAAGTTGTGGTTACGTAGCTTTGTATTATTCTTAGTCCGTAATGGTATCTAATAACGTTTTTGATTGGTTAGTCAAGAAGATCATTAAAGCGTTTGAATAAATGAAACAAAAGAGATTGCGTAACGCGTCTTATAGATCTTGTCGAAAACGAAAGTAGATTTCGATATCAAATTCCACCGTCACTGATTTTGACAAAAGCTAATGACTATGAATATATTTTAAATAAATACGGCCAAAAAAATAAAAAAATAGGAATCCAGGTGTCAGAAATGAAAGTGTCAATTTAGAGCAATGGTAATGAGTTTCACAAAAGATTTTAAGATACAAGGAACTAGACCGCGGAAAGTCTTCAACACAATTGACCGATAGAGAGACCGACATGAACAGTAGATAGTTCTTTGACCACCTCTGTACTACATTTTAATAGCCTCAACTCTTCAAATTTAAGTGTCAAAATCCGCAGCTGACCGTGACGATATAAATTACTTACGGTCTTAAATATCTGCAACTTTCTGATGAAACAAAAGGACATAAAACAGAAATTATTTCTTTTGCCACACATTTAATTCTTTGATTCAGCAGTTTTCTAGTGGTCAAGAGAATGACCTTGCGGACGTTTACTTTCTTCCCAATATTGTTACCATATCCAGTAAAGTGAGGGAGTCATATATAATTTTTTTTTGTCTCCAGTCTTGATGTCATCTTTGTCTAATTTACACTAGCTGCAATAATGTAGCCCTCTCCGATTTTTTTATCTGATATTTTCTGGAGAGGGCTACAATTCCATCGCATTTCCGTAATGGTGCAAATATATTTTTTTGATACGGGTGATTGGAGGCAAAATAAATTATTTTTACATTAAACTTACTTCTTATAAGACGGAATTTTTATTCACTGTCAACAACATAGCCTGTTAAACTCGAAAACCATGTAAAATAAATCTGTGTCTTTCCCAGCTGCAATATTCAGCAGCCATGACAGTTCACGCGTGACGTAGTGAGACTTTCGCTTGCAATTTGGAACAACCAAATAAAGCAAATGTCGATGTTTATAAACGATTGTGCTATAATATATTACAAAAACATCGATAAATAAAACCATTTCAAGTGTTATTTTTGCACAAACAGCAATACGTATGCTTAAAATAAGGGAATTCCTAGTAGATCCGCTCCTATAGAACCTAAATTCTCATTGGCTGTCCCAAAATACAATCCATCAAGGTCAGTAAACATGGCGGATAAATTCAAGTTAAGCTGTTGACACACACGAAAAATAACCGATATATGGGTCGTTGTGAATATTTTTGGATCGATTTATGTTTTGCATAATTACATATTTGGATTCCAGGTAAGAGATAATAATAAAATAGCCGTTTACTGATAATTTGAGCCGAAATCCGTGCGGGAGTGATCCACTGCCGCATCTGCGCCATTATAGAGATCCTAAGGAGTTGTAGCCCTCTCCCAAAAAAAAAAAAAAAAAAAAAAAAAAAAAAAAAAAAAAAAAATCGGAGAGGGCTACATTATTGCAGCTAAATTTACACATGTATATTATTTTATATGTACATGTACCAGTGCATGAAAAATATGCTGAATTTATTGGTACATGCTATGCATCATGTAGTGTTTCTTCTAATTTTTTTGGTAAAATCTGCACTTTACTGTAGAGCAGAAATGAATTTAATTTAATGCAAATACAATTTCATTTCTCTTTTATTAAATCTAAATTTTGAATTTACATTTCCTTTCGTGACTCAATAATTTTTTTATATTTAAAACATAACACACTTACAACTCAAACCTTGCAAATTTTTTTTGAACAAATTTATAAATATAAACAAATATAGCATAGAACTTAGAAGTTTTACCTAAATCTTATTGTTACTCTTCTCAAATAACTAATTTTTCTATGTAATTCCACTCATCCAGTGCTAAACTTCACATGTAATGTGTATTGACCAAAAATAAACTTTGAAACATGGCATAAAAATAACAGCATACTTCTATGTGTCTAGAAACCAGGAAATGCTGTCTGGTGGCTTCTTAATTTCAAATTTTTTCCGGGGGGGCATGCCCCCGGACCCCCCTAGCAGGCTCACGCCTTCGGCGTTCGCCAAGTGGTACCTCCTATTTTTTATAAAGTACCACCTGCTTCAAATCTTTTTGAAAGCCCTGGTATGTCCCATTACAATTCTTGTAAAAACGGATGAAATTCTGTCCCAACTGATTATTTTCCTCATAAAACAGGTGTTCTCTGGTATATAAATATGAAATATTTACACTCTCAAGTAATTTAATTATATTTTATAGGATTTTTTTTCCTGTTTATGAGTCTTTTTTCAATAGCAGTAGTTCCGTACAGAAGTTCAGTCAGGCTTGGTTTATTTACATACAGCTGTTTATAATCATTTGTGAATCACAACCTGTGAGGTTTTCTTTTAAAAATATTTCACTATTCAGGGAATGAAAAAACTATATTGTTTAACTGTACTGTACAGGATTTCTTTAAAGACCTTGGACACTGTCAATGTATAATTTGTACCTCAGTTGTATATATTTGAAATGATCCATGAAAATGAAAAGGACTATTTATAGTTTCTTTTTAAAGAATTCCCTGTGGATATGTGTGGTAGAGGGTTGACCTAGATAGGAGCTGTTATGGATCAAGGGGCTAAGAGAAACAGACTATAGGTGACACTGCTGAATGACCCTTGCATTTGTTCTTTGTCTCTCATATAGCTGTGTAGTAGCACATGCCTTGGCTTTAAATAAAGGGTATTTCCATTTGTTTGACATTGTACAGGAAAGCAATGCTGATACAAGAAGAGGTATATGTTTTTCCATTTCTTTGTAAAGAAGTGAAGTGGGTATTAATTAATGACATTAGGTCATAATGGTATGCTTGCATCTAAAATTTTTACCATTGTGAATTATTGAAATTTTAGAGAATTATATGTGAGTGTGATTAAAGTTGAGTTATATTGTTTGATCATGTGGATTGCCATTATTTTTTTGGCTTTGTTAAATGTTAATTTTGAAGGTTATGGTTGTCTTTACATTCCAATGTATGCAAAGAGCATTGCAGCTGAAATCTGCACTGCTGAGTTGGCATTATTCATAATCAGCTGTTAGAAAGGAAAACTAGCTAGGACAGTGAATGAACAGTATTGTGAATTAGGTTCCTGTGTTGTGTCAAGTTAACTTGACAGTGGGTGAGGGAATGGTTCATTACAAGCAGGATCTCAACAAGTAGCTTAATCTCTGTAGTTAAACAAACAGTCCAAGTTATGTATAGCAGTTAATGTACACTGGTCATCAATAGGGGGATGGAGGTGTGTTAACTTGTAGTGGGCAGATATGTTTGCTGCTAGTGAAAAGAGTTGCATAATGTATTTGACTTTACTTCAGTTTGTAAACAGTGTTACTTTAAAAAAAAAAGGAATGACAGAGTCAGCTACTTAGTATACTAATATGAGTTGTATATTGTTATTGTGTACTTGAAATATTTTCAGAAAATGACTGATGTTCAGTTGTTTTACTTTCTGAAAAGGGGAATTGCATTGCAAGAATCTGTTATAAGCATTTAAATAGGCTTCTTTTCGTAAAGAAGATCCAAAAAATACTTTTACACCAAAAAAAGTAATTCAGGTCATAAATTCCCTCATTATGCATTCTTAACTAAAAATCTTTAAATTCAACACCTAGATTATTAAATGTCAAAATGGATATGCCATATAGATCTGAGGTGATTTTGCATGATCTTAACTGATCTGTCTTTTTAAAAATTGCATAATGTTTAAAGACCAACAGAATGACTGAAGATTGTGTTAATGGTTCAATTGATTGAATATATCAGTCATTGACAACTTTGGTTAGGTGTGTTGGTGCTTGTATGATATCTTGAGTAATAGACTAAGTTACTTAGCATATGCCATATTGATTCATATACAAGTATATACATTGAGTTGATAAATGATGCCACAACTCGGTGAAATTTAATGATGTTGAAGCTGAATTCCCTGTGCAATTTGCATAAGTAGGAATTTTTAAATTAAAAATATAACTAATTTGCAAGAGGAAAATTAATGGAGAATTTGTATGGTAATTTTTAACTAAATAATAATGTCTAGGTTTGAATCAAATGCTCAATCTCAAGTTTATATGACCTCTGCATGCATATTTAAGTTTAAAAAAAAATGTTCAACACTGTAAAATATGTACAAGTGTTTGCTTCATTTTGTAGGTGGGACTACTTGATTCAAATGGTGACATTGCTGGTTTTCAAACACAGACTGTCCAAAGTGCTGGAAAAGGTAAGAAGTCTCAACACTATTACATATTTCAAACCCCGAAGTTGAAATTTCCATGAAATATTCTAACATAAGTAAACAAACAGGCACTAAAAACGTACAATGATGCCACTCATCTATCATGTCTATGCTAGCTATATGTTTATTGTAAGCTTTCCTTATGCAGCTGTGCAGTTAGTTGCAGTGCCAATATCTACAACATCACCTGCAAAAATGTCTCCATTCAAAGAACACACAATTCTTCCAAAGCAGGTATGATACTAGTACTGTAAATCACTTTTTATTCGCGAGAACTTTATTTTCATGTAATTACGCGAGACAGTGTGCTCGCGAAAATATAGAAGAATATATAGAGCAATAACCACCGTTCGCGAAAATTTTGTCTCACTAATCAAGAGTCAATGACTATCTCGCAAAAATAAGGTGTCGCGAAAATTTAGTGATATACAGTATATGATTTAATAAAATTTTAATGATGCTGCGATGGATTATCCTTGGAATTAATTTGAAGGGATGTCAAGGACTACAATATGCGCGACTTAGGCTGAGACAGAGAAACAATGTTGATTTTTATCCCATCTTAAAGTAATGAAGATGTTGAAATAAACTTTTTAAGGGGTTTAAAAAAAATTCCTCTTTTAAATTTACCATATATTAGAAAAAAATATGAATACTTTTTAACTTTAGAGGAAACAGATGTATGTCAAGTGAACTAGTTGATAATGAGAAAATGAAATCAATTCTATCCATTGCTCGAACCCTTTTCCTCTACTGACTATTTCTATTCCAGTTTACTGCCCAGCAGTTAATACAGCAAGTGACCAGCCCCAGACAGCCCATGATTCCCATAGATGTTACCTGGAGATCAGGGGCCCAAAAGAGGGCCTCCGAATTCACAATAGAGCCAGATGATGGCTTTGGGTTAGTACTGTTTGATAAGACCATGTATATCTCTAAGAAATTGGATGTTGTTAACTTCAGGTTTAACTGAAAGTCACCAGTTATTGCATTAAAATAACAATATAAATGAATGAAACGAGTCAGGTTATTCCTGGAAGTTTGAGATATTTCCTTTTATACTGTAGACACAAGAATGCATCTGTATTTTGTACTTTGAGTGCCAAGGTTGATCAATTGTTATTTCACAGAATTTTTATGATTTTTTGTATTTCAATAATTAGAAAATGAAAAGGGGATGGGGCTGTAATTTCCGCAGTGCAGTGTATCTGATTGCTACAGCAAAATTTTGGTTTTGCCAATAGTTTTTATAAAATTTTATATTGCATATGATAAAACATATTTTATTTCAATTTAGGAAACGAGGAAAGAAAGGAGAAAAAGGTGGGAAAGGATTACGTCACTTCTCAATGAAAGTATGTGAAAAGGTTCAAAGAAAAGGAGTGACATCATACAATGAAGTGGCAGATGAACTGGTTACAGAATTCAGTGATCCGCGAAATTTGGCCTCCCCCTCAGACCAGGTTTGTTTTTGGCGATAAAAGCATCCATTATGCTTTAATGACAGAGACAAAGGTTCATTGATTCTCAAATGGGATAAATTTCTTTTATCCTTAGTAAATTTGTCGAGTTAAATTGTCTTGTATGTACAATTTTGCCATGCTAGCAATGCTAAAACTGCATTTTCATGCCCTGTTCACACGACGAGTTTAATTCGCAGTAAATTAATGCGAAGTAAACTAATGCGAATCAAACTAATGCGAATTAAATTGCATTCACATGACAGCTAATGCAAAGTAAACTAATGCGAATTAAAATTCTACTTCTACGGCCAGGCGTCAGTAAGGCCATTATGACGTCATTTGCAAATCATGTCACCTTATGCAGGAGCAGATGCATTTGACATAATGTTACAGTGTCTGTACATACATTTTGGTGATTAACACAATTTTCCTTAGTTTTTCACGCAAAAATAGCACAAATACTTCAAGCTGACCACAGACATGTGGCATTTGACCTAATTTTGCCATTACGCATGCCTCAAAATTTAATTCGAATTAGCTTCGCTTAGCGTTCACACGGAGCTAATGCGAAGTAATTTAATGTGCAGTAAACTAATTCGATTTAAACTAATTCGCATTAAATTCTCCGTGTGAACGCTAAGCGAAGCTAATTCGCAGTAACTTTACGTTTAATTTGAATTAAACTCTCCGTGTTAACAGGGCATCAGTCTTCGCGAAAAAGAAAATCATCTTAGGACATCCAAACAGACAGTTAAAACAATTTCAAAGGACCAAACGAATTTTCACCGGTCCAACTTTTATCATGTAATGATCATAACAAGGTGTCTTTATATCATATGAATTAATAAACAAATATCACTTTAAAATATAACTGAAATGTTCGTTTTTCTTCCTGGTACTGTCCTATCAAAATATTTTAGAAACATTGTGGCAGAAGTAGGTTTTAAAACAATCACGATCAACAAAACGTTTTTAATAATGTGTTTTGGTATCAGTTAAAGCCTCTATATGATGAAACAGAAAATATAAAGTTTAAAACCAAACCAATACAAACCTTGGACAAATGGACTGATTTTACTAGTTAGTGCATCGGACCAATAAGATTTTCACCTGTTTTGTCTGACAGACCGGTGCTTTTGAGATAGACTGCATTTTAATTGTAATATACTTTTCTATGAAATCATTAAAGCAACATGCTTTATTCATGACCTTTCTAATCACAAAGTATGAATTTATTAAAGATAATGTGCAATATAATGTAGGAAATGATTTATGCTTGTGTAATTTAAAATTTGAATTTTAGGCCTATGATCAGAAGAATATCAGGAGACGTGTCTATGATGCCCTTAATGTGCTGATGGCCATGAACATAATATCTAAAGAAAAGAAAGAAATTAAATGGATAGGATTGCCTACTAACTCAGCACAAGAATGTCAAAATTTAGAGGTATGAATTTTTAGTTAGAGAAGAAACTGTGATAATTTCTTAAGTTGCCCTTCAGCTATGTTTTATCTCTTAAAAATATTCAATTTAGTAGTATTATTTACAAAAGGTACGAAGTGTCTGATTTGTCAATTTCTGTTAAAGTAAAGAGCATTTGGGTGACATCGCGAATATTTCTCGAGATCTCTTTTTCTAAGAGGTTTTAAATTTTGCGAAATTCGTCGCGAATAAAAGTTGGTTTACAGTAATATTATTTCAGATAGAAAAACAGAAGAGACTTGAAAGAATCAAACACAAAACGCAACAGCTCCAAGAACTCATTCTGCAGGTAATTGATTGTTCAAAGGATCCTTTTACACTTGCATTCAAATGATACTCATACTACAACAAGTCAACAACAGTCCTGTTTGATTTATCAGCTTGTTTTTATTTATTTAACAGCAAATAGCTTTCAAAAACCTAGTGCAGAGAAACCGAGAGCTAGGGAAAACACAGGGCCCTCCTCCTCAGAACTCGGCCATACAGCTGCCATTTATCATCGTCAACACCAGTAAAAAGACGGTCATAGACTGCTCCATATCAAACGACAAGTATGTCTGGAAACGCTTCTTTAAAATTTTCTTTGAAATTTAAAATGTAACCGGTTCCTACGCATTTGGTTTGATAACGAACATGGCACTTGAGACTTCAACTAAGTACATACTTGTAATTTGGTGTATTAGACTAAAGTGTAAATGATGCATGGCAACTAGAATTTCTAAAATCTTACAAAATGTGTAAGGTTTGAATTGATTTAAAAAACATGGAATAAATTAAAACAACATCAGAATAAATAGTACGAGGGGTGATCAAAAAGTTCGCGAACTATCGATATATCTTCAAAACCACAATTCAGATTAGAAAAAAAATTGGTACACAAATAGCCATACAACAGTTCTATAAATAGCACATGCTGAATAAAGTTTTGCTCCTTGTTTGTGACGTCACAATGTGAAAATGACGTTACTATGTAGGTCACTCGTGACAAAAAATGGTTGTCTCGGTCGTCTTCGTTCAACGAACGAGTGTAAAATTAATCGGTACATCTTAGAAATCCCTTTGAAGTAGCGTATAATAATTTGTACACAGTTTATTAAGACAAATGACTTCTTATAAATTTAATAAATGATTTGATTGATCGTTTTAGTAAAGAGAGGCAGATGGTTAAAAATGACTTGTTATGTTGCCTAGTGAAAGCAAATTTAAAAAGAGATGTGTTTTCAATTAAGCAATTTGCTATCAAAGACGTCTAATTTACACATTGAAAAATAGTTGAATATTTTAACAATAATATATTTATTAAATACCTAAGATATAGTTAACTTTAGATTTTAAACATGTTAATTATGATAAAAAGGAGGCACCCATTCTCTATCCAACTTGAATAAACGTCTCTCCAGAGAGAGAAGATTTGGGTTTTGATGGTCGCCATGCTTATTTTTGGAAAGAATATTCTTGTCCACCCATTCTGTTGCCGATATTTGACCATTTCTGACAAATGAGCTGTTCTTGTTATAAAAATTAACTTACATGGAAAGAAATATAAAACTCAGAAAAATCTTTCAGCTTTTGTGACAGAAAGCTATGGAGGGGTCACGTGACCGCCTATATCACGTGATTCACGCATGAGCAGAACGGTGGCAGATGTGCATTAAAACTGGAGAGGACTAATTTAAAATATAATCAACACTGAAACCAAATATTGTTTCTTTTATGGAATTTATTCAAATAGTTCTCGAACTTTTTGATCACCCCTCGTAATTTGAATGTCAAAGTTATAGTACACATGCACATAAAGTCGGAAGTGATACCTGAAGTGAGTGACCCAAAATCATATCCACAAATGGAAGATTTTAAAAATGCTTGGATCTGGAGCTCTCCAAATTTTCTCAATCAGAGAGCTTCAGTTCTACAGCTACTTGAAATACATATATAGTGTTATAAGTAGCTAAGCCCAAATTGTTTTACATGTATGTGATATTTGTCTTTTCAGATATGAATATTTATTTAACTTTGACAACACTTTTGAAATTCATGATGATATTGAGGTGTTGAAGAGGATGGGTATGGCTCTTAATTTGGAAAAGGGCCAGTGCACCACTCAAGATGTAAACAAAGCTGTTAAAATGGTCCCCAAAGCTTTAGAACCTTATGTGATAGGTAAATTACGGGTCACTGATCAAATTTTGTAAAAACTATATATCTTGCACTCATTATCATTGAACATTAAAATATATTTCAAAACGTGACAAAGCATTGTGTTTTGAAGCGATTTTTTCCATTATTTTAATTTATGGAATTATGTCTGCATAACAATCATGCAAGGTTTTTTTTTCTTGCATATCTCATTTACATTTCAATAATACTTCAAAACTGTTTATTTGATGTCATCTCTTGAACACTACTTTGTAGACTTAGCCAATGGTGGAATGGCAAACTCTGGTCCCAGTGGTATCCGACCTATGTCAGCAGAGGAAGGATCTTCCAGGTATGGTGTTTTTCTGGAACTGATTCATACTTGTAGGTTTTTAGCTATGGCAATAAGTAGTTTTCTCAAGAACATTGGCACAAAGTATCCTTGAGGATTCCCTTCCAAGGGGAGACCTTTGTTTTGTCACTTTTATGGCATTTTTAAAAAATCTTCACTCACAAAGATAGCCATAAATCCTGTAACTTGCCTTGCGCAAATGATAAATTAGTATATGAAAAATCAAAATCTTCTTCTCCAGCTCACTGGGCCAGCCAAGTGGAATCATCAAGGTAGTGTGGATTCAAGTTTGTCAAATTTTGTGGGGCCAAAATGGCTGACCCAAGTTTTACATAGGAATATATAGGAAAAATCTTTAAAAATCTTTTTCTCCAGAACCACTGGGCCAGGAAAGATGAAACTCATGTGGAATCATCCTCAGGTAGAGCAGATTTCAGTTTGTTCAAATCATGACCTCCCGTAAACTTTTACATAGGAATATATAGGAAAAAACTTTAAAAATCTTCTTCTCCAGAACCACTGGACCAGGAAAGATGAAACTCATGTGGAATCATCCTCAGGTAGAGCAGATTCAAGTTTGTTCAAATCATGACCCCCCGGGGCAACCAAAATGGCCGCCAAGTTTTACATAGGAATATACAGGAAAAATCTTTAAAAATCTTCTTCTCCAGAACCACTGGACCAGGAAAGATGAAACTCATGTGGAATCATCCTCAGGTAGTGTAGATTCAAGTTTGGTCAAATCATGATCCCTGTGGCAAGGGTGGGGCCAAAATGGCCGACCCTAGTTTTACATAGGAATATATAAGAAAAATCTTCTTCTCCAGAACCACTAGGACAGGAAAGATGAAACTCATGTGGAATCATCCTCAGGTAGTGTAGATTCAAGTTTGTTCAAATCATGACCCCTGTGGCTAGGGTTTTTTATATAATATATAGAGAAACCTTTTAAAATCTTCTTTTCAAGAACCACAGTGCCAGGAAATATAGAATCATCCTCAGGTAGTGAGAACATCCCTCAGGTAGTGTAAATTTAAGATGTGCAAGTTTGTTCATGGCAATAAGTAGAACTTGAGGATTCCAGGTTGGTCACTTTGGATGAAATCTGCACTCACAAAGATAGCCTATAATCCTGTAACATGCCTTGCGCAAATGTTTTAACATAGAAATATATAGGAAAATTCTTTAAAAATCTTCTTCCCAAGAATAACAAAGCCACAATTGATCATATTTATATGGAAGCATCCACAGGTACTGTAGATTCAAGTTTGTTCAAATCATGACCCCTGGGGGTAGGGCGGGGCCACAATGGCCGACCAAAGTTTAACATAGAAACATATAGGAAAATCCTTTAAAAATCTTCTCAAGAATATCAAAGCCATAATTGATCATATTTATATGGAAGCATCTTTGGGTAGTGTAGACTCAAGTTTGTTCAAATCATGACCCCTGGGGGTAGGGCGGGGCCACAATGGCCGACCAAAGTTTTACATAGAAATAAATAGGAAAATTCTTTAAAAATCTTCTCAAGAATAGCAAAGCAGGGCTGTCATAGCACCTTTTGGTACATGGACCGGGTCCCTCTAAATTGGGAAAAATCCTCGACATTTTTGTTAAATTGGGAAAATTATAAACAAGCAAAATATTTAATCATGAAAGCCATTTATCACTTTAAAAAGTATACTTGAAAAGCTAAAATTTACAGGACATGAGGTCTGATAAAATCTATATTTAACAGAACAAACATTTACTTACTATACAGGCATTTTTTTTTCTTTTATTTTCAAGTGATACTATACAGAGACTGGAAAAAAAATGTGGGGAGGGGGTATTTCTTACTGTTTTATTGCACCTCAATCAAAAATTCAGATTATAAAGAATTATTTAATTGAAATTATCAAGTTACTTTTTAAAATTTTCCTTTTAAAGATTAGCAAAATTTTCTTTTTTCTGGTCCTTTGACTCATGCAAATGAAATAGAGTGTCCAAGATTTTATTTTAACTTATAATTCACTTTTAAATATATTTATTTATTCAATGAACTAACTCAAAATGGTTATCCTTTTTTAATAATGAAAATAAGTTCCCCAACCCAATCTACGTATGACCTATCTTTAGATCTCTATTCCATGACAGAGGAAATTCGAATTAGAAATAAACGATCATGACAGGGTTATTGCAGATTAAAATTAAGCATGCATTACTGCTAAATGGATCAAATAAAGGATGTATGTGTGGAAAATTAGATTGTATATACAAGAAAACACGTGTTTGGGAATTTTCTACATCTGAAATTGGGAAAATCTAGCACTTTGTGCCATTGGGAATGGGTCCGATATTCGGTCCAAATTTGAGGGGAGTGACGGCACTGGCAAAGCCATGATTGGTCATGGGACTCAATTTAGTTTTCAATAATAAACCAATTCTAGCCACAGTGCTCACATATATGATTTTGATCATTGGTCATATTTCAAACATCAGTGATATTTAGGTCATAATTTCTTCCCCTAATTTTAAGTAAGAATAAAAAGTACCGGGTACAGGATATGATTATGCTAGCCTTAACAAGATTTCAAAGGTAAAGCTTGGTCAATATTAGGCCTTTATAGTTCCTTTTTTAGCTCTACTGGTCAGGGGGCTTATGCGATAGGGTCCGTCCACTGTCTGTCTGTCTGTCTGTAAACAATTTTTCAAAATGCTACTCCTCCTACAGTTTTGGTCCGATTTCAATGTAACTTGGCACACAAGTAGACTACACTAATATACATAATTCTGTGCATCGGTTTTGGATTTCGAAATGTTGCTGGTTAAAAAATAGAAATTTCTGTGAAATTCTAGCAAAATGCTACTCCTCCTACAGTTTTGGTTTGATTTCAATATAACTTGGCACACAAGTAGACTACACTAAGTTACATAATTCTGTGCATCGGTTTTGGATTTCGATAGATGGTGTTGCCATGGTTACTAAAAATAGAAATTTCTGTGAAATTCTTTCAAAATGCTACTCCTCCTACAGTTTTGGTCCAATTTCAATAAAACTTGGCACACAAGTAGGCTATACTAAGGTACATAATTCTGTGCATCGGTTTTTTGATTTCGATGAACGATGTTGCCTTGGTTACTAAAATTAGAAATTTCTGTGATATACTATAAAATGCTACTACTCTTACAGTTTTGGTTTGATTTCAATATAACTTGGCACACAAGTAGACTACACTAAGTTACATAATTCTATGCATTGGTTTTGGATTTCGATAAACAGTGTTGCCATGGTTACTAAAAATAGAAATTTCTGTTAAATTCTTTCAAAATGCTACTCCTCCTACAGTTTTTGTCTGATTTCAGTATAACTTGGCACACAAGTAGGCTATACTAAGATACATTATTCTGTGCATTGGTTTTTTTTTTTTGATAAGCAAGGACCATTTTTCTATTAATTGCTATTTTAAAGTTTCAAGTCCCAGCTGCTACTTTTCTCTTCCTTTGTTTTATGTATAAACCAGTAGAGCTACAGTCTCGACAGAGACTTCTGGTTTATTGAACAGAAAAGAGAATGGCTTAATGTTCCCCTTAATGTTCTATATAATATTTAGTTTAAATATAAAACAAGAATTTGTATAATTTCACCTTGATTTGTATTTTTAAAATGAATCCAACTCATTGTTTTTTAATGACTAAGAAAAAAAATTTTAAAGTATCAATTTTCAGCTCTTCTTTTTCAAGCAAATGAAAAGATGTCAAAATCTTTTACAAAGTGTTCCTACAGATTATTTGGTATAGAAGAGTTTCCTGTATTTACAGATACAAAGTACCTGCTCAACCTTCCGTCCAATCCTCGGGCAGCAACAGCAACGACAATATGGACATTGAGGTGGCCAATATTTATTCACAGGACTCTAACATGGGCTCTCATTCAGACATGCATTCGAGGGCCACAGAGACCCCCTCTGAGGACTTCTCAGACGATAGTGACACGGACAGGTCCAGTCCTGTAGACATGAGTTAATGAAATTGTGTCAAGTGTGGAAAAGGATGTGGCTCAAAAAAAGAAAATCTGATCAAAAGTGACAGATTCCATTTCAACAACACGTGTGGAAAAGCTGTTTTCTGTCAAATGTCGAAAAGCTGTTATTCTGTCAAATTTGATGGAACGGTCGTTAATTCTGAAGTTGTGTATGATATAGAGAGAAAGCTTGATCTGTGCCCATATTGGGCTACAGGCAAGAAATGGCAGCAACCCAACTACCTGCGAAAAGCAGTCTTCAATATTTCAGAGACAAAGAGTTGCATCATGGTTCTATGGCCTAATCATGGGTTCATTCTGTTGTTAAAAGTGGACTTCATAAATTGACAAACTTTGACATGTATAACCACTTGAATTTGTCTGATGTTCTTAACTTCTGATGATGAACTAGTAATTACATTATTTCTTCTGGTAATTACATAATTCATTTAAGTGTGTATGCAGTTTTTGTATGCATGAAAGTTGTGTGTAATGATTTTATGAAGATCATGATGTAGCCTTTTGATTCTCATGGAAATCCCAATTTTTGGATATTAAGCCTAGTGTGTTCTTTGTACAATGAATGTATACCATGGCACTTGTTTTGAAAGTAGCCAGGTTTGTGAATCTATAGTCTTCTTGAGGAGACTGGTTGAATGGCAGGAGTAGATACATGTAATATGTAGTAGACAAACTGTGATAAAAGGGAGTTTTTGAAATGTGTGTTTTAAAGACAGGACTGTTTGTTCATGCTTTGTGTTAGGTCATGAGAATGTTCAGACTTCAAAAATAGTTTTCAAAAAGTCATGATTTAAATATTAATTTACAAAAGAAATTTCCTATTTAGACTCATTTTCGAAATTTTCATCTGCTAAAAGTAGAGGAGAACAAAAAAAATCTCTCTCACCTTATCCCCCTGTTATCCTCCTTTACATATGTTCAGTAAGGATAATTTTTGCCGTTAATTCAAGAAAATCACTCTCATGTATGTTTTATTGCTACTGGTTCCTATTATTCATCTCTGTGGTAGTAAATTCATATTGTATTGAACTCAAAAAGAGCAAACTTTTTTTTCACAGTTTTTGCTTACAATTTAATTCATTGTCATTTATAACAGATTGCTAGATATGTACAGTGCCATTCTTCTGTCAGAAGAAAGTCATAGTTATTTAGCAAGGTCTACACAAAGCATTTAAAGTAGTATATCAGTATGTGTTCAGTGAACTAAAATTTCAGAAGAAAAATTTAGTATACACATTTAACAATTCAGCAGAAGTACATAAACTGCCAAATTGTACAAAAGTCTTATCGAGTTCACTCAGCATGTGGAAAAAAAAAATTATGTACTTTTTTACACAATGTGAATAAAGTGTTCCCAGGAAAGTGTTCGAGATGCATAGGATGTTTTGGCATCAGATACATTTTGTAAGTTATTTATGTTGTGTGCTCATTAGTCCCCATGTAACCTTATAGAAGTGTCTGCATGAATTATTCTTGTTACATAAACCTTGTGTATATAACATACAGGTATCGTGCGCTAAGATTTGTAAATACATGTAGATGAAAAAAATTATATATACATGTTAGTTACCACTACTTCTGTTAGAGGTAGGTCATTATGACTCAAACTGTCCATAGTGCTGTGTTTTTTGATTTTTAATTCTTTAATTATTCTAGTTTCCTGACTGAGCAGTGGTTTGATACTAACATTTCAATACTTTTCTCTCTGAATATTTATGTTGAATGAAGATAGATTTTTCTTTGAGCTAGATTTCTGTATCTGATTCTGTTGTCCCTGCATTTTTACATATATATTTCTAGCAAACAAAAGAAAAACCGGAAACTAACACCATTGGGTTGAAAATATAAAAGATCCCCATGGGTGGATACCAAATAGCACTGTAGATTCTCAAATATTTGTTGAAGAATTAAAAAGCATTACTCGCAGCAAATTAATTTATATGCCTTTTTTTGGTGCTGAATTCCATATCAATTATCTTCATTCAAAAACTCACAAATTATTGTTCGTGTGATTTGAAGTCAAAGACCCATTTCACTATGTTAAGTAATCATGAAAAATGAATCTATAGCATTTAATGGGGTCTTTTTCTAAAGTATTAACTTGAAGACATAAAACAGTTTACCAACACTTAGTTAGAATCCAGCAGTAGATTTATTTTGTTAACAAAGTAATTTCTTGGACAAAATGATACCTCTCTTCAAGAACTAGGATTTAATAATTCTTTAACATGTTTAATGCATATGTGTATATAGAGGAACAAACACTGATGTTTAAAATACTGATTAATGTTTTAGGTTAATTCAGCAGTGTGCAGTTTTTTTCTGTAGTGTTTGTTTTTATTCTATTATTGCATACCGGTAGATTACTTGTATTTTACAGAAGAGTAGAAAGAAATTATGGCACACATTCAGTAGCTAAGTCAAGCTGTATTTTTTTCTTGATAGAGTCTGTGATTGGGTATACATATTGTACTTTTTTTTTAATTTTTAGTTGCTGGTTGATTCAGAGTACATACAGTGTGTACATGTATTTGTTGCTATATTTTTATCTTCAGGAACAAATATTCAGTACTAGTAGATTTCATTGATCATGCACATGTATTCCAAAATTTTTACTGAATGCAGATACTTCATCTTTCAATATGTACATTCCCACACAGTTATGTAAAGGAGAAAATGCTAAAGTTATCCAATAAATATGGGTATATGCTCTTTAAATTACACTCAAGATTTTCTCACATTAAGTACTTTAAACATTTCATCCGTAAGTTAATAAGGCAGCTAAGGTGAAGAAAAATATCTATTTTCAATTGGTAGAAGTGAGATAGCTAAATGAAGGTAAAATGAAGAAGAATTTTAAGGAATTGAGAAATCATTGTTGAACCAATATCTATGCACTAATTTCATTGTGAAAACAGAATCTAATGTCGAGAAATTCACTGTAAAACTCAAATAAAACAATGGAAGCGAAAATTATGTTGCTTTGTTATTTGTAGTTTTAAGAAAGTTTCATTGACCTTTGAGTTAGGTTTCACTCATATAGTGATAGAGATGGGTGAACATTACGAGGAATAAGCCCATAGTGCAAAAAACATGAAGGTGAAAAATTAAATCTCAATTATATATCAAAATTTTCCTTAATATTTCATCTAACATTAAAGTATACTTTATGTAAAATTTCTACAACTTGCACAAATCTCATGAAGATTGAAGTTATTTGGCTATGAAATATTATACACACACGAAAGAGGACAAAACGAGTCATTTTTTCACACTATAACACTATTTTTCAATATGAGTGGGTCTTCTCTCCATTTTTTTGAAAGTTAATCCTTAAAGTTTGTATATAAATATACATATTTTGGTTTCCAAAACTATGGAGCAAAGACCCACTATACCTTAAAAATATAATTTTATGACATAAATTCCGTATCTTTTCGAGAAATATTTGAAGTCCCTCAAGTTAATGGTCATATCACAAACATGATTTAAATGCCAAAAACCTACAGGACTTGTGTAGCGTAGTGGTTAGCGTGCTAGTCTCAACAGAGAATGCAACTCAGGATTTTTATTGCCAAGGTTCGAACCCAATGGATACTACATTATTTTTTCTTTAAAAGAATAAATTTTAATGAAAATTTTTCCTCAAAACTTTTTGTTTATCATGATTTCATAAAAATCAATGATTAGAACTTTACTCTAAATACAAAATTCACAATTTGAATATGATTTTTATATATCTGAAGCTAGTGGGCTTTCTGCACGCTAAGTTCACCCATCTCCTTTTAATACCATTATCAATATTGTAGTCATACAATGAATGGGGAGGATGTCTGTCTTGATTGATTATACTGGTAATATCTAAATGTACAGACACACCATACCAAACACATGGATTGAACATTAGAGACAATACAATGCACTTGAGTGACTTGACCAGGATTGCACCTCGACCCAGTCTTGTTCAGAAAGGTTAACAATTTCAGTGGTTGCCAAAGAGCTCAGTGTGCAGGGAACTTGTCTAAGTCTACAGGAGGACTGAATTTTAGTAGAAACTAGAGGTACTGTGAGCAATGAGCTCACTAAACGATACCCCCCGCCTCCCATAATGGTTATTATGGCAAAGTCCATGTTTTGTTCAGACCCAAAATAAGTGCCAGATCAAAAAGTAACATAGGAGGTCTACAACAGCATTATGTTTCAGGTTTAAATATGTACAGTGCCATTCTTCTGTCAGAAGTCCTAGTTATTTTTTCTAAACTTGCAGAGATTTAGACCTTGTTATTCTTTCCATACTGGTCCATTGGTGGTACCCACATCTTGTCTGAAACACCTTCCCCACCAAGTTATCAAAAAATGTTGCCTAGTGCCATTATGCATCTCCTACTTCATCAAGTTAATGGTTTCATTAGACTCGACTATGGTGTTTGGATAGGGCCATTTGCTAAAGCTGAGCAGCGCTTTCAGAAACACGTGCTGTTCCGTTAACACACAACATGCAATCAGGCTTACATGAGTTTGCACAACACGCCGTTGCAATTGTGTGTTAGCGCGATGGAAAGTTGTGCAAACACCTGTTAGCGTGACAGCGTGTTGTGGGATCGTGTTAGCATGACAGCATTTTGTATGTCAGCGCAACTGCGTGTTAATGTTGTACGAACTCATGTTAGCTCGTTTTTCTGAGAGCGCTGTTGAGCTGTAGCAAATGGCCCTATCCAGACACCATACTTTACTTTTATACTTGTACAGGAGTGGACGGTCCACTGTTGCAGGTTTCTAATCTTGCTTGCCCAATGAGGTATTTCATTCCAGAATTTGGACAAGCGACCACCATTCAGTTTATTACTTGGGGATAAAGATCAACAGGCAAAATTATAGTCGACAACTATGCATCTGTGTGGGCTTTGTCCCATCCTCTTATTTATCAAAAACATTGATTCATGGATATTATTTGCACAAAAAATGTGCCTTAATCAATTAACAAAACAGTTTTAGTTAACACTCAAATTAAGGAAGCTCTAAAAAAGTGCTTTTTGAATTTGAAATATTTAGCATATTAGGTGTGCATATTGGCATTATTATTTATCAAATAGATATAAACCTGTCCTATAATAATATACCCATGGATATAATAATTTAAGTCCATAAATGGATTGTGTAAAAGCACTACGGGTGGTAAATCAGTTTAAAATGAATACAAAAGAATTTTCTTGGTCTAATATAATGCAAAGAATATAATCATCTATAACAAACTGTATTTTCTTACTTCTAAGGGCAGATCACTCTAACTGCAAAAAATCACTCTACTAGCCTAACAGACATCCTTACTGTGCAGCGTTTAGAGCTTCAAAAAAAAAATTTAGTGCAATTTTCAACAATGTTTAAAATTTCAGTGTAACGTTAGGCCTTACCTAGACAATAGATTCTCTTAAAAAACTACTAAAAAAGAAATTAGAAACCCTATTCGATCGAGAATTTTTAGAGTGCAAAAACACATAAACGCTGTATATGAAGGCATCTTTTCGAAAGATTTGGTGGCCCTTAAAAGGGCCGTTGCATGAAATCAAGACTCCATAGTCTAGTACTCTTGGCTTTGGCTGGATTTCCCCTTGGCGCTTCCAGATTTCTTTGGCAGCAGGACGGCCTGAATGTTTGGCAAAACTCCACCCTGGGCGATCGTCACACCAGACAGAAGTTTGTTCAATTCCTCGTCATTACGGATGGCCAGCTGCAAATGGCGGGGGATAATTCTGCTTTTCTTGTTGTCTCGGGCTGCGTTTCCTGCCAACTCCAAAACTTCTGCGGCCAAGTACTCTAAAACGGCAGCCAAGTAGACGGGAGCCCCAGCGCCAACTCGTTCTGCGTAATTCCCTTTCCTCAGAAGACGATGAATTCTGCCAACGGGAAACTGCAGTCCTGCCCTTGTTGATCGGGACTTTGCCTTAGCCTTTGATTTTCCACCTTTTCCTCGTCCAGACATGATGCTTTTCTCTTTATGGTATTGTCAGAAATCGACTGTACAGAGTGCGCGTAAAACCGGGTATTTACAGGTTTCGTGTTTGCCACGAATTTCACTGATTGGCCACTAGCTTCGAGAAAAACTTGACGATTGGATCAAATCGGAGGCTTGTCATTGGTTGAAATCACAGCACTTGATTGGTCGAAAATAGGCGCACTTTGTCTTTCGCAAATACTCGGTTGATTCCGATGTGTTCCGATTGCAACTTTGGCGAAACACGCGGATCTAAGAATTTGCATTTTAGAACAACTATTCTTTGATTAAAATTGCGCATGACAGTATTCTTATTTTGGATACAGTTAGGTTAATTTTATTTTGATTTTTTTTTTAATTATTCCAAAGTAATTTGAAACATTTTCCTTTTTTAAGAATCGATTTTATATAATTATGCTTTTAGTGTTAAATTATGATCGAAAACTGTTCTAAAAATTTCAATAATTTTAAATATGAATTGAAATAATAAAAACATAGTGTTCCAAACATTATAAAAACATGTATTTATATTCTGTTAATACATAAAAAAAAAATCACGCATTAGTTTCTAGGCATTAGCTGATTTAGCTCTTTTTGACTATCAATGTAAATTTATACTTGCAAATGAAATATTTAGAAAAGACACCATACCTTAAGAATATATATTTATCATATAGTTAAATATTTAGGCCTCCCTGCACAAAAATTCTGATATAAAAACAGTAAAATTTTCACCACTTTTAAACTCCTTGACAAACCAAAGAAAATCCTAATATATTATGTTTGAGATTTAAACGAACTTTAATAAAATAAATCTACATTTATCAAAGGGTACGGGGGGGGGGGGGGGGCACATGTAACATATATATTCCTTTTTTTTTGGAAAAAGAATGTAGTTTGCAAATCTACAATTATCAAACAATGTTATGAAAATGTATACGTATTTAATGCAATCGAACTTAAAATATGAGAAATTTAGATAATATATACAACTGATGCATCGACATTTAATATAAATTCATTGAATTACTTATTAAATGCATTATTTAAACTATCCGCATGAATGTATCTTTATTTAAAAAAATGTTTATATCTAACAAAAAAAAATCTTCAATAAAGCTCAATAATTTATTTATTTATTAATAATTTAACTTATTTTGTGGTTTCCCACTGCCCTTTGTATATATATAATCAGTTTTTGAGACAGATGTCAACAACACAAACTCGTTGGTGTAAACATCCGGCTCCCGGTATTAATTGTTTTATAAGCATGTATATATTAAAATTACGTAACTGGAGGATATGGTGCCAAGATTACCCTTTTTAATTGACACTACAGACTATACCACCCGTAGTGCTTTTACACAATCCATTTATGGACTTAAATTATTATATCCACGGGTATATTATTGTAGGACAGGTTTATATTTGATTGATTTGCCTGTATAACGACCCTCTGTATAATCTGTTTATCTTTCCGACCCTTTCATACACATTAAAATTATAATAATAGTTTAGTAAAAGAGATATAAATTTTTCCCTTCTCAATTTTATTTTTAAAAATCATATGAGAAATTGTAAACAAATTAAGAGCAACAATACAGAAAAAAAAATACTTATATTCAACACTGCACAGGGAATATAATAATGAAGTTATGACATCCAATCCCCCAATCTCATAAAAGTAAGATTTTTGTTATGTAGTAATGTTTTGCTCAAAAAAACTTTTTTACGTTTAAAGTATATGCTTTTACTAATAAAAGTCACATTTTTAAAATTCTTAAAATTGCACATATTTTTTGTGAAATAAATCTAAATTTACAAATATAGCTGCATTTTATTTATTGTTTGCAAAAAAAGTTATTGGCACTTTTATCTTTTTCAGACATCGAAAAGTTTTAAAGAGAGTGATGGCAATTTATTTGTTTTGACTTTATAGATTCAAAAGAGTGCAGTTTTGCTCAGAAACTATTTTCACACATTTCATGGGTATTATCATTCAACACAATATAAAATACAGATTTTAGCAGACCTGCACTCAATATTTTCCTGTTTATTAATCATCCACATAAATTTATTTTTTTTAATGTCTTTTCAGATGACATCACAGTACCATACACTGCACTATTTTTTTGATGGTGGTGGGGGGGGGGCTGGTTAAAGAGAAATAAAATTCCTGTGAATATCCTCGGAGGTCCATGAGTCATAACCCTTAATTGATAGTGTCCGTTTTTAAAATACGCGTAAATTTGAGATGCTGTTTCATTTTGTAATTAAGTCATACCGTAGTTGTAAATATTTCATTTTTTTTTCAAATGAACCGATTATTTAGAAAAAATCATGCCTTTGCCTAAGACCATAATGAATTTCAGGGTATCCAACAATATATAGTCCTTTATCTATATATTTTCAGTACAGTAGCAGTAGTTTATGTATTTTCTAAGAATATATAACCATGGTTTTATTTGACTTGCTAATGTTTGAAGAACTTGATCTATAATACATTTTTTTACCCAAAGCATCTTGGCAAACAAGAATAGCCTGAAAATTAAGTTATATGTGTCCAGAAAAAGAACAATAACACTAAATCTGATTCATCTTTTTATTATTATCAATAAGTTTAGACATATTGAGTCATTCCCCTTCCTCGATTTCTTTATAAATTATTATTATTATAATTAAGCACATGGATTTGAGAACATTTTCACGACAAAGAAAGAAGAAACTGGTATAAATGTTTTCCAAATTTACTATTCGCAATGCCTGCATTTTAAAAATAGAAGAGCTAGGTCTTCTAACGGTGATGCATAAAAGAATGATACATCATACATATACCCGGTAACTTCAGTCTGACTTAGTTTTTTTTTCTGTAGCTACAGTGTAGTGCAAAGAACATGTATCACAAATAATAATGAGAACATTATAAAATTTCTGAAAATAATCAAGCCTTCTATATGATTTAATTTAATATCATATTTATTCACAATTGTCCATTTCTATCTGTCAGCTGTTATTTTCCTATCCTCTGGACTTCCCAATCTTGCTGACACAGGGGACATCTTTTATTCTGTTTAACCCAAAGCGTCATACAGCACAGGTGGAATGAATGATTGCATTCTCCCCAGACCACTAGAAAAAAAGAAATCAGCAAATTTAATATTAAGTATATGGACAATGCATCATAAATTCATAATCTAGACACGTAAGGCCTGTCCATACATGCATTTTATGCATTCCAGTCATGTTAATAATATATCCATGGTATCTGATATATCAAAGTTCCACTGTACAATCTAGTACTGCTAAGATTGAAAAAAATATACAGTCATACATCTGGCCATTCAAGACAAATATTTAAGAATGAGAACTTCTATCTGTCATCAGGAATATCAAGGCTATCATGTATTTTGCATAATATGGGGACAAAAATACTTGAGACAAAAATAATGAATTTTTTGAGTCAGAGTCCAATAGGTACATTTTCACAATTGTAGTCATAATGCTCTTATCAAGATGTATATATGTACATGTAAACATGAATCAATTGAAATGATGGAATTTTTTTGTACTACATTTAGTTTTCTAAAAATGGATAAAATAAAATAAAATTTACGCAAGTGTCATATGATATTCTTACATTCTTCATAAAAACAGTAATGCATTGTTTGTAAATATAAACTAGACAGTGATTAACGCCATAAAGTTTATTAATACAAAACAACCGAAGGTATTACAAAGCAAAACAAAAACTATCACTTTGTACCAACAATGTACAGTAGGATATAGAAGAAGGCATGTTAAAAATATTGTGGTAACATCTCTGCTGGTTGGTGTTTAATCTCCATTAAATGATAAATACAATGGAATTTTGCATCTTGTATACCATGGACATATTGCAATGAAATGGAAGTTTGAGCCATTCTTTCTTTTTTTTTTTTCTTTGTATGCATTTTAACTTTAATATTTTGAACTCTCTAATATCTAGGAAGATTCTTCTTGGTCCCATGAAGTTCAAGTAAAGATTTGACAATAGTTAAATTCATATGAAACCATTTTAACTTTGAACAGGTGCTGAAATTTTTCTAAAAATACATACCAACACAGTCATCTTGTTTGTTCTCTGACTGACACCTCAAACAGGCATCTACAAAAATAAAGAATAATGGAAACAAACTTTCACAGATACTGAGATACACATTGTTATTATACACTATAAATTTATACATGTAATAAAAATAATTGCAAATCTTTTGATACACCATTACTCTGCTCATGTTTATAGGAGTCAAACAAGTACATGATGTAACAGAAAAAAATAGATGTATTGCTGGACTGGGAAATGCCACTGAAGCAAGGACCTCTGCATCTCTAGTCAGGTGATTCAACGGGTTCTAATCTTAACCAGTACGGAGCTATCCAGGACAATTCAGCTTTGGTCTATCCAAACCACACCATGGAGCGAATAATTATTTTTACAATAATGTACTAAATTATTAACTCATTTTTAGACACATCCACTTCATACATGTATTTTATTCATATTTCAATCATTAACATGATTAACCTAGATTATCAAGCAAGGTTGTCCCCAAGAATTGAAAAAGAAGGGATATATGGAAAGTAGAAAGGGGTATGGGGTTCTTCTCCTATGGAAGTTTAGAAGTAATACCCAAAAATAGCCGAGGAATTACATCATTATAGGTGAGGAAATTCCCTGGCCCCCATTTTCATTTCTTAAGGACAACCCTGCCAAGCATACCGGGTAGTTTGCCTCAAATTAAATTTTTCCTGAATCATTTTGGACATGATATTTTATCGAGCCTCTTTATTTTAAACCATCTTTCTAAAACCAGAGACTTAATTACTATGAAAAGCCCAGAAGTCTGTGCGGTCCAGATGACTAGCTATCTGAAAAAGTTTTCCAGAGCCCTGCTGTGGTTTTATCCTCCACCATTGAGGAATAAACAAGTGGTTTACAATAAAGAGGATCGATACTAAAAGAACATCCCAGAAGGATTTATTAAAAAAGAATTATAACTAGAGGTACTGTGAGCAATGAGCTCACTAAATGATACCCCCCGCCTCCCATAATATCGATGTGTTGCTTTATATTGTTTTACGGTAATGTGTAAAGAGGAATAACTCGTCCTATCAAATGTTATCCAGAAGCTTCTATTATGTGACGTCATAGGTAAACAAAAAATGGAAATGTCCATGTTTTGCTCTGAGAAACCTAAAATACGTGTCGAATAAAAAAGTAAAATGCACAATGGCAATATGTAATAAAGATTCTGTGAAAGTTTCATTAAATTTCACTCAGTAGTATAAGAGGAGTTGCGGATAAGAGAAAAAGCGTAACAGACGGACGGACAGACGGACGGACGGAAATCCCGATCACTATATACCCTCCCGCTTTTCAAGCGGGGGGTATAATAAGCGAAGTATTAGTGTGTCTAAGTGTTAAAGTAAGCTAATGATTGATGAATTATTAAAACACAAGTTTAATGTGGGGAGTGTCTGAAATTGAGTTAAGTACCTTGTGATAAAAATCAGAAAGGAGAAAGGGTTGTCCCTGACTCCCTGTAATATAATGTCTGTAACATTACACTGTGATGCCAGTGCCAAAATAAAAGCTAAATGCTTATAACCCTTACCCATCACTTGAACACGACAAATAGCACATGTATCACATTCTACATCCCAGCTCCACATTGCAACGAGATTCCATTTCTTGAGGGTAAACATTTTGTCAGCTTTTTTCGCACTTTCTCTATCAGGTTCTCTTTCAACTTCCATTTCATCCGCCATCTTGAAGTAAAGTGTATAATTTAAAGTGCATAAATTATAACAGGATTAGCAATTTTATAAATAAAACATTATATTCTGAATGAAGTGGACTTGAATATATTATAATAACACTACACCGTTCTTCAAATACTTATTGTATTTATTAAAAATGTTTGACAGTTTCTTTGTTTACCATGTTTACCTTTTTGAGAAACTGAAAGAAGAAAAATGTGAATACCGATCCCGACTTTAATCACATGATATGAAAAGCTTTCCGCTTATCGTCTCAAACCACGGTCCGGAGTCCGCATATAGCTATCTCATTCAAAAAAGAGGACCGTACATTTTGGCCGTGGTTTGCGACGTATGATGTTGTACATAGGATTAAACTTTTTTAAAGTACATTTATAATTTGTTGATTTGATTGATTTGAACATATTTATACCCCCCGCTTGAAAAGTGGGGGTATATAGTAATCGGTATTTCCGTCCGTCCGTCCGTCCGTCTGTCCGTCCGTCCGTCTGTTACGCTTTGGGGTACCCATCTCTTATCCGCAACTCCTCTCATACCACTGAATGAAATTTGATGAAACTTTCACAGATTCTTTATTACATGTTGCCATTGTGCATTTTGATCCGACACATATTTTGGGTTTCCCGGTGTACCAGTGAAAACTGGGACTTTTTCACCAGTTATAACCATATGGGAGGCGGGGGGTATCATTTAGTGAGCTCATCGCTCACAGTACCTCTAGTTTATTATACCCCCCCCGCTTGAAAAGTGGGAGGGTATATAGTAATCGGTATTTCCGTCCGTCCGTCCGTCCGTCTGTTACGCTTTGGGGTACCCATCTCTTATCCGCAACTCCTCTCAAACCACTGAAGGAAATTTGATGAAACTTTCACAGAATCTTTATTACATATTGCCATTGTGCACCTTCTATTTTACTTTTTGATCTGACATATATTTTGGATTTTCCAGAGGAAAACATGGATACTGCCATTATATTCATATGGGAGGCGAGGGTATTATTTAGTGAGCTCATTGCTCACAGTACCTCTAGTTGTAAATTAATAGACTATTACAGAAGGATTGGGCACAAGTTCTGACAACTTATAACGCCCTCTTCCTACATGTAAATTACACATTTTTATTGTCACAGTTAAACACTAGAGGTAATGTGAGTGATGAGCTCACTAAATGATACCCCCGTGCCTCCCATAAGAATATAATTATGGCAGTCTCCATGTTTTGCTATGGGAAACCCAAATATGTGTCGGAACAAAAAGTGAAATAGGAGGTGCACAATAGCAATATGTTATAAAGATTCTGTGAAAGATTCATCAATTTTCATTCAGTGGTACGAGAGGAGTTGCGGATAAGAGATGGGTAATGCAAAACGTAACAGACGGACGGACGAACAGCTAGACGGACGGACGGATGGACGTCCCGATTACTAAATACCCTCCCGCTTTTGAATCGGGGGTATAAATATGATATCATACCTGTCTAAGTTAAATACAAATATTTTATTGGCACAAACACAATAATAGTAATTGGTAAAGGTCCATACAGAATTTATAATATTAACTAGAGGTACTGTGAGCAATGAGCTCACTAAATGATACCCCCCGCCTCCCATATGAATATAATGGCAGTGTCCATGTTTTGCTCTGGAAAATCAAAAATATATGTCAGATCAAAAAGTAAAATAGGAGGTGCACAATGGCAATATGTAATTAAGAATCTGTGAAAGTTTCATTAAATTTCCTTCAGTGGTATGAGAGGAGTTGCGGATAAGAGATGGGTACCCCAAAGCGTAACAGACGGACGGAAATACCGATTACTATACTGACACGCAAAAGAAACGCAACACCCTACTTTAGGGGGAAATAATTATGAAAAGTAAAGAATTTTGTATCTTAAAATTATGAATATCTTCAATTTGGTAAACATTAGTAATTAAACGGTTGAACGATTTCAATACCATAACCGGAAGTCAAGTTTGTGTCTGCTTAACAGAAATCAAAAATTGCATGATTAACAAAACATTTGGCAATATTATGGAGTTTTAAGGGTTTTTTACTGTTCATCATAAGTAATGCAGCAATATTTCAAAAAATAAACTCTCCTTTCGTTTCCCGTACCGATGCTAAGGCTACTTGAAAATGTCTTATGTACGCATTTCCATTGCTCTGGCTGGAAAATTTCAATGTAAAGGTGATGGAGAGTTGGTGATGTGAAATTTCACTGCATTACACCTCAACAGGGTCTTACGTATCATATGCATTAAAGACAGTCTTTGTACCGGAAGTCGACGGGTGGCTACACTGCTCACATTTAGAGAAAATTCGACCTAATCATCTGAAAAACGGGTATTTAAAAATGCCAAAGAATAATTCCTTCGCTCAGATCTCGATATTAATGTCCCTATCGTATCGAAGAAATTAAGCTGCAATTGTTGTTAAGGGCAGTCTTGCTCGTTTTATTTGAATAGCTGGGAGGGGGGTGTTTTAACAGTCATATTTTACTTAGTAAAGTAAACAGATAAACATTTAACATTTTTATAAAATCTCTGATGTTCTGAAAAGTGAGTTTAGCCTTACTTTATTCGCTTTTGAAAATCATAAGATAAAAAAATCAAACATTTGTAGATTACTGCTTGTTGCGTTTCTTTTGCGTGTCAGTATATATACCCTCCCACTTTTCAAGCGGGGGGGGGGGTATATTATAAGCACGATAAAACATGTCATATATTTGGAGTCACATGTTATCCTTGTGAGAAAAAAATTTCATTGGGTACCAAGAACTTTGACCCTTTGACCATGGGGTTTAATTTAACCTACTTTAAAAAAAAAACAACAAACATTGGCTATAACTTTTGAGGGGTTAGGGCTAGGGCTTTCATACTTCACATATTTAATCCTTTTGACAAGATCATTCATCGGATACCAATAAATTGGACTCTTTGGCCTTGACATTGAAGTTTGACCTTTTTTTTTTAATGTTACCTGGCCCATACTAAACAGTTGAAGGGTTAGGGCTAGGGCTTTCAAACTTCACATATGTAATCCTTGTGACAAGACCTTTCTTTGGAAACCAACAACTTTGACCCTTTGACCTTGACTCTTGAGTTTGACTACCTTTCAAAACCTTATCCTTGGTCATAACTTTTACTTTGGTACCAGCATATTTAATTTGCATCTAAGACAAGTTTATTCTTATGCGCCCGAATTTTTTCGGGGCGCATATTGTTTTTGTCCTGTCTGTTTGTCTGTTTGTCTGTTTATCTGTTTGTCTGTTTGTCTGTTTGTCTGTCTGTCTGTTGTCAACTTTAACCTTCGCCAAAACTTTTAAACCGTAAGAGATAGAGACTTCATATTTGGTATGCATACTCCTCTAATAAAGTCCTTTCAAATGACATCAAGGTCAATGACCTTGTGACCTTGACTGTGACCTATATGCTAAAAATAGCTTTTTCCACTGTTTGTCATAACTTTTTAACCATAGGAGATAGGGACTTCATATTTGGTATGCATACTCCACTAATAAAGTCCTTTCAAAGGACGACAAGATCAATGATCTTGTGACCTTGACTGTGACCTATATGCTAAAAATAGCTTTTTACACTTTTTGCCATAACTTTTGAACAATAAGAGGTAGAGACTTCATATTTGGTATGCAAATTCCACTAATAAAGTCCTTTCAAATGACACCAAGGTCAATGACCTTGTGACCTTGTCTGTGACCTATATGCTAAAAATAGCTTTTTCCACTGTCTGTCATAACTTTTTAACCATAGGAGATAGGGGCTTCATATTTGATATGCATACTCCACTAATAAAGTCTTTTCAAACGACGACAAGGTCAATGATCTTGTGACCTTGACTGTGACTTATATGTTAAAAATAGCTTTTTACACTTTTTGCCATAACTTTTGAACCATAGGAGACAGGGACTTCATATTTGGGATGCATACTCCACCGATTAAGTGCTTTCAAATGACACCATGGTCAATGACCTTGTGAACTTGACTGTGACCAATATGCTAAAAATAGATTTTTTGAACTTTGTTGCCGCCGGGCGCATAGTGTTTCACAAACACATCTTGTTTGCTTTGTTGTCATACGGGGGCATCAGTTTTTCCACAATCATATTTTGTTTTCTTTGTATAAATCGACATCGGGTACGATAAACTTTGTTACCGTCTTCCTTGGAAGACGGTATTGTAAGGAAGACGGTATTGTATAGTTGAAGTTTTTTACAGTCTCCGGACTATGCACTTCCTCTCTTTTGTGATTGGTAGAAATTGCATGATGAGAAAATTTTCAATTATTTCATTGGTTGAAATGCTGTTCAAGGCAAGGGAGATAACTTTCTGATGATCTATTTTTCGTACGACTTAACAATTTTGCAAGATTTCCAATCTTAAAAAAATGACAAAAAGAATAACAAATTCAGCAGTAATTATTTATCAATAACATGATATTTTTTATAGCAATAAATAAAAAGGTCTCTTTAATTTCATTATAAATAAAATTTGATAGTTATTGCTTGCAGGCTTTACAATTTGTTATTATTCTTTTCCCCTTTCTTGTTTGAAAAGTGAATGGGAATCAGCCGAGGTTTGCCGAAAGCTCTCGGCCAGTCAAAGTTTACGGAGATGACCGAGCGACAACTATGGTAGGGCTAATGCCCGTAAAAAGCTAATTTAGAAATACAAAATCAAGAAATTCAAAAGAATTATACGGCCTGTAAAGTGTAGATCTGTTTACTGTTTAAAATTGTTGCTAAAGACGGTAAGCTTTTTTGAAAAGCTCTACTTGTTGTATAAGAGTAACAAATCTCCGGAAGTTTACATCATCTTCTGGAAGATGGAGAAGGGCACTAAATGGGTAGACATTACTTGATTGGCTGAATTCAGGTATGCATATATTTTCATTTTAAAGTAAAAATATTAATGTTTGAAATCAGTGATTAAATGTAGGAATATTACAAAAAATATAGAGATACCAGTGGAGATTGTAGGGGTGGGAATTGGTATTTT